TACATGGAAATAATAATTCTGATTTGAGGTTTACATGGAAAACTTGTTAAATCGTCTTTATTTAATTGTGCTCAGCGTCTGGGGCTGGGGAAGGTTCTGATTAGACAGAGACACAAATGTATTTACGTCGACCAGAAGAAAACACACACTTCAGCTGCTACCAGCTTTTCTGTCATCTCGATTTGTCGTTGTGCCACGGACACAAACACCATCCAGATCCAAACTTCCAAACTTTTTCCGCACTTGTTAGGATGATAATTGCACAGCAACTGGAGAACTGTCTCATCATGCTTTACGTCTGTCAGCTGAGGAGGAGAAGGGAAGAGTGTCGGAGAAGGAGGAAGAAACCTCTACCTCAGCCCACTCCCACATCCCGCTCACAAATCTAAAGAGATGTGGATGAAAGTCCGAAGACAGGACTGGTGGAGCCGGATTGTCTGGATCGCATCAGAAGGGCGACACAACGAGCATGTGCTGAATGACCACAATTATTTTTAAGAAGAATAAACGTTTATGGTGCCACCTAGTGCCTCTGCTCAATTTCATTTCTCTCCAGTGACTAGGTCAAGAATCAGAATACACTAGAGGGTTTGCAAAAACCCTGGAAGTGCAAGTCCAGACACCAGCCAAACAGCAAAGAACCATATATTCTATGTTGGCAACGATTCCTGAGATCAAGGATTAAAAGCCGGAACAAAGAGAATGTTTGGTGAATTTTATCAAGGGGAAAGACGTTATTGTCCTTCTTCCTACCGGATTTGGGAAAAGTTTAATATACCAGTTAGTCAAATAGCAGCGATTGGTTAAATAAAAGCAGTACCTGTCAAGCGAGCGAATCCTAATGGTTAGGTTAGGTTTGGCTGATGAATCAGGCCAAACGTTTATCTGATCGAGAAATAAATTAATTCATCTTTAAAATTGGAATAAATCACCCACTTACTTCAGAATCATGTTTAATTCTGAGTAATCATTTTGATTAGGAAGTAAGTCTTTAAATGGTCCTTCTAAACTGGAATTAATTTTTATTCAGAATATTTGGAATTAAAGCTCTCGGGTAAATGTGGCAAATGAAACAAAACACAACATTATAACATAACTTAAAAGGCCACAAGAATCCATTTTGTGTAATATATTGGAGAACGAAATAAGTACGTCACAGTGAAGGTGAAAATGGTGTAGATCGGTGCGTTGACATCTTGAAAACTGAAGAATAAAGATCACTCAAACATGCACGCCTACTACTTCACTCTAAATCCAACTTTACTTGAATAAATGTTGAGGAGAAACGACTATAACATGTTTAAAATGTCTAAAAAGTCGATAATGCATAATGGGTCCGCTTTAAACTTCAAAAATGTACTTCCAGGACACAGTGACCTTAGAAAGTATTTGTGAAAGTACTCCTTACATTCCTCTTGTTATGACTACAGACTCGAGCGCTGCCTATGGGGTTAAAACTCATTTCTTTTAACGTAGTTCTATTGTGGCTGGAGTTGAAGACCGCCCGGTATCAGTCACCCAGAGCGGACTTTCACCTCGGGACCGGCCCTTATCACTATCACTGACGGAGCGGCTATCTCGGCCAATAGAGCTTCATCTTTTGTTTGTATTGTATACTTCTAAACGCTGAGAAAGACAGTGGGCTCGGCTAATGTTAAGCTAGGTTTGAAGGACATTTGGGTTTACCAGCTACACTACTGGGAGTTAAAATGGCTGGAATTCGGCTGGAATTTTGGTTGGTTTCTTAGCATATGTTTTTATTACAAGCAAAATTATCTGCTACTGGATTGAAAGAAAGTCATATATTAAACTTATATTAAAGATGCACTGTGTAACTTTTCATTTGGAGAGTTTGTCACCTGCTCGTCTCCATAATCCGTGTGTCATATGTTCATTCGTTTTTCAAAATAAAACCAAAAATAGGAAAATGAAAAAACAACAGTTTTCTTCATTATTTGTCTCCAAAACCAAAATGAAAAAAAAACAAAAAAAAAACAGATAATGATTTGTTTTTTCAGTTTTTTATTTTGTGTTTAAATGAATAATGGAAAAAACAGATAACAGCCGTTTCCCCTTTCCGTGTCTTAAACTGTGATACTGGACTTTTGCAGCACATACGGACTGAACCAGGACTGAACCAGGACTAAAACGAGACTAAACCAGGACTAAACCATTTTCAGTTCTGGTCTGGTCCCAGTCTCAGTCTTGGTCTGGTCCTGGTCTTGGTCGCGATCTCAGTCCCGATCTCGGTCCCAGTCTTGGTCCCGATCTCGGTCCCGGTCTTGGTCCCGGTCTCGGTCCCGGTCGGGTTCCGGTCTCAGTCCTGGTCCTCTTCCTGGTCTCAGTCCTGGTCTGGTTCCGGTGTGGTCCTGGACCTGGTTTAGTCCTGGTTCAGTCCTGGTTCAGTCCGTAGGCGGTGCAAAACTCCGGCATCACAGTTTAAGTCACGGAAACAGGAAACGGACGTTATCAGTTTTTTTTTTCCATTTTTCATTTCAACACAAAATTAAAAACTGAAAAAACTAATTGTTTTCCATTTTTTTTCAGTTTGGTTTTGGAGACAAAAAATGAAGAAAACAGTAGTTTTTTCGTTTACTTATTTTTGGTTTTATAGTGAAAAACGAATGAACGGATACACAGATTCTCCATGGAGATGTTCCTCAAAAATTCCAAAGTATTGCCTTAAGATTAACAAACACATTAATTCCATTCCATCATTAATTCCTGTTATTCTTTTCACAGATGTAATGCAATACTGTGGAACATTCGTTTCAAAGCAATAACATCTCCATGGAAACCAGTTGGTATCTGTCACCAGAAAGGTTACATAGTGCACCTTTAATCAACATAATAGCCAAATAATCTTCATAGATGTAATGCAACTCTGTAGAACTTTCCAAACAAAGCAATCATCACCATGGAAACAAGAAGATGGCTAACTCTCTGACCAAAAAAGTTACATTATGCATCTTTAATTGAAGTAATAGCCCAATAATCTTCATAGCTGTCATGTGATACTGTGGAACATTCCATTCAAAGCAATAACATCTCCATGGAAACCAGTTGGTATCTGTCACCAGAAAGATTACATAGTGCATCTTTAATCATTGTAATAGCTCAGTAATCTTCATAGCTTTAATGCAATACTGTGGAACTTTACAAGCCAAGCTATCACCATGGAAACATGTAGACAGCTGGCTCTTCATCAGAAAGGTTACATAGTGTACCTTTAATCAACGTAATAACCCAACGACCTTCGTAGAAATAATGCAATACTGTGGAACTTTCCAAACAAAGCAGTCATTGCCATGGAAACAAGAAAATGGCTAACACTCTGACCAGAAAAGTTACATTATGCACCTTTAATTGAAGTAATAGCCCAACAATCTTCATAAATATAATGCAATATTGTGGAAGTTTCCAAACAAAGCACTCATCGCCATGGAAACAAGAAGCTGAAAAAGTTACATTATGCAACTTTAGTCATTGTAACACACCAATAATTTGACTAGACTTCAGATCATTTTGCTTTAGATAAGAAATTACATTATAACTTACTTGATCTTAGAACGATTTAGACGTCAACAAATCTCTACAGACTTTTCTATTTTATTTTGATTTGTACATTTACATTTATACAATTAAATCTTATTTGACATGTGTCTCTTGCACTTTTTTACCATTTATATTTTTACTCTTTGTTATTATATTATATTGAGATGTTTGAGCCACTGTGTCAATTATTTCCCTTGTGGATCAGTAAAGTTTGTCTAAGTCTAAGTTTTCTAATTCCAAACTAGTCAAAACGACTCAAATTAACTTAAAATATTCACATTTCTTTGCCAACTTTCCATATTTTTGCAGTTGCAGTCACTTCAAGCGTCACACTGAAAACTTGAGAACAAAACCAGGAAGTTGAAAAAAAAAAAAAAAAAAAAAAAAAAGACTCATCATCCCTCCCCTTTCTGTCACTTCCTCCTCCTCTTTCCCTCCCCTCACTTTGGACCCCGGGGCCCCAAAAACCTGCCTTACCTGTCTGTCAGTTTCACCTTCTAACCATACGAGGTCAGTTTATTCACAAATGACTGGTGGTTGGATTTTTTATTTAATTTTTTTTTTTTTAGATTAAACCAAACATAACAGAAAAGAGGCTTTTTTTTTTTTTTCTTTTTTTTTTTTGAATTATTCAAATTGATTCCTTTAAATTAGAGCTTTGAAATTGCAACTTTTATTTATACAGTATGTGAATACACTTTTAGTCACTGTTGTGCTTTTTTGCATTTACTATTATTATTATTTTGTAAACTGTATTCTTTTAAGGTGCTGTTTCGGATTGTATCTGAAAATCTGAAAATCAGGAAAAAAAAAAAAAAATAAATCCAACCATACTGTATACTTTTTTAAGGTGCTGTTTCGGTTTGTATCTGAAAATTAAAAAAAAATAAATAAAAATAAATAAAAATAATAATAATAATAATAAAAATCTGTATCTCATAATAATATTTAATAATGTATCTGAAAATCTGAAAAAAAAAAATAAAAAATTATAAATTCCAACCATACTTTATTATAAGGTGCCATTTTGGTTTGTATTTGAAAATCAGAAAAAAATAAAATAAAATCAAACCATACTGTGTACTTTTATAAGGTGCCGTTTTTACTTGTATCTGAAAACCTGCAATTAAAGTAATTAAAATAATAATAAAATAACATTCTGTACTTTTTCATAAGTGTTGTTTTGGCTTGTATCTGAAAACCTGCAATTAAAATAATAATAATAATGATAATAATAATAAAATAACATTCTGTACTTTTGCATAAGGTGCTGTTTTGATTTGTATGTGAAAATCTGTAATAAAAAAAAAAAACAACCAACTTCCAACCATCCAGGCTCCCCTCCCCCTCTGCATCAACCCGGAGCTCCTCCCTTGTTTTGGGGGCAGGTACTGGGCAGGAGGGGGTAGGACTTTGGGTAAGTATAAAGGTATGGAAATACAAGGCAAAGTACCATTCTCCGGAGAGGGGAGGGCAGGAAAGAGAGAAACAGAGTGAGAGAGTGAGAGATAGAGTGAGTGAGTGAGAGAGAGAGAGAAAGGAGGAGGAGTAGGAAAAAGTTGCAATTTAAACACAATTGGATAGACTGTTTGGAGACCTTCATTGCAAACATGGGGCTGGGAGTAAGTACAATGACGCTAGTGTGTGAAATATTTCGGCCTAGTTTGATAGTTTCTTTGTTTTTAAACTAAGATTACTTTTGACAGCTTAGATTTACCTCAAAAACTTTAACTGCTACTTTCGAAAGTTGTTCTAAACTGACACTGTTAACTTGTATTGTTCAGATCTACTTTTATAACTACTAAAAATGTAGATCAAAGTCTAAAAACGATTTGTGTAGTTTTCACTTTTTCTTCTAGCTCAAAGGAGGAAGTGTATGCGCGCTTTTTTCTATGTCCACATGTGCTGGAGACGTAGCGTGCGGCTAATTTTGACAACTTTTCCTGTTCACAGAGAGGGAAAGATGAGTACAAACTGGCGGCCACGTCCGACAATGATAAGAGCAAAAAGGCCAAGAAGGCTAAGGAGAAGAAGGACATGGATGACCTCAAGAAAGAAGTGGATCTGGTGAGTACATTTCACAAAAACAACTGGATTTAAGCTAGTGGAGCAGATCAGGCAGGGGACTAGCTTAATGCTTACGTTATAGCCTGTCATTTCCACGCGTTTCTTTTGCTGCCTGTGACTCCAGTGTGATCCATTCACTTTCAGCAGAGGTTTACTACAAAAACACAGGGCTGCTACTACCCCCACTGGGGTGCTAGCTAGCAAGGACATTCTCCCCTCCTTCCTCTCATACTGCTGCTACTATTACTTCTACTTCTACTACTACTGCAACAACTACAACTTCATCTGTCAAAATTGAAAGAACTTCTGGAGATTCTTTTAAAAGGACCGTTTGCAAAGACACCACTGCCACTATTACTACTTTTACTAGCACTACATCTACTACTACCACAACTTTGTCTTGTGTTTTGAAAGTTAAAGAACTTTTTGGAGATTCTTTTAGGAGTACAGTTTGCAAGAACATTCCCTCTTCCTCATACTACTACTGCTATTACTACAACTTCTACTACTACTGCAACTACAAAACCTCACATCTTTCAAAAGTTTAAGAACTTTTGGAGATTCTTTAAAGAGGACAGTTTACAAGGACATTCCCTCCTCCTCATACTACTACTACAGCTACTACTTACTATTACTACTACTTCTACTCCAACTACTGTTACTACTCCAACCACTTTTACTACTACAACAACTTGTGTTTTAAAAGTTAAATTACTTTTTGGAGATTCTTTAAAGAGGACAGTTTACAAGGACATTCCCTCCTCCTCAGACTACTACTACTACTACTACTACTACTACCACCACTACTGCAACTACTTTTACTACAACAACTACTTTTACTACCACCACTAGAACAACGCCTTGTGTTTTAAAAGTTAATAACTTTTTGGAGATTCTTTTAAGAGGACAACTTGCGAAGACATTCCCTCCTCCTGATACTACTACTACTACTACTACTAGTACCACTACTACCACTACTTTTACTACCACCACTAGAGCAGCGTCTTGTGTTTTGAAAGTTAAATAACTTTTTGAAGATTCATTTAAGAGGACAGTTTACAAGGACATTGGCTCCTCATACTACTTCTACTACTACTACTACTACTACTACTACTACTACTGCAACTTGTCATTGTTCAAAACTTAGAGAGTATTTTAAGATTACAATTTGTCCTACTCAAAAAACCTGGTTAAAAAGTGGTTAAAAAGAGATTTAACCCTAAGTCTGAGTTGAGTTAATCTGGATCATGTGTTCAACAGTTGCTTTCGCCGGTGGGGGTTGTCAGTCTCACAGGATGCCGGTTAAACGCTCACACATTTTCTTGTAAATCATTCCGCTGGGCGAGATGCGTTTCTTCATACTTAATGACAGTGGAGCACGGGCCACGCTAAGTTAGCATTAGTGACGATATGGTCAGACAAGAAAACCGCTAATTTGACCCCGACGGATAGTCACGTGTTTTGGTTGCAGGTTTAACTATAATCAGAGTCTGAACTGGCAAAGCTCGAAGCCTCATTTGGCAATACGAGTCTTTTTACTCAACAAATGTGTGTGTTTATGGAGTCTGATTCTGTCTTAAACATGCTATAGTTTGGACCTCTACAAACATCTTCTGAAAGTGTTCTTGGATCAGTTTAGAAGTTCAGATTTAAGTCTTAGTTGTTGCTGTCACTACAATAAAGTCACGTGTTATTACCGTCTACAGCTATACCTACACATTTGAGTTTTTTCTGGTTTAGTTGAGCAATATATCGCCTAACTGAGAGTACGTGGGTTTACTCAAAAGTCCTGTTGAAATATTTGCGAAGGTTCTTTTCTTTGTGAGGAGGAAGTTCGCCGCGCAGTCTGTCAAAGTTGGTTATGAACATTGAAAAGAAACAGTGTAGTTTTTTTCCACTGTTGTCAGCGGTTTCTGTACCGGCATTTGTAGCTCTGATTGAGGTCACCTCCCAAGGTCGAATGCCTAAGGATTTAATAAGTTCTGAGCAGCGTTAAGAATGTACTTTTTTCTTTGAATGGATATTACAGTAAAAATATATACACATATTTTTAATCATTTTGGCTTGTTTAGATTTGTTTAGATTCATCACTCTGACTTGTTTTAGTATTTTTTATGATTTCAAGCTAAATTTGTTGTGTTTGGTTTAAAAAAATACTTTACAATTTAACTGAAATTTAATTGAAAATATATTGAAAGCAGTAAAATATTGTAGAATAAGTTCCAAAAAGTAAATCTAAAGTTGTCAACGCTACTCAAGATTTTTACTTTTTCAATTTGAACTTTCAGATCTTTTTACAGTATAGTCAGTAAGTAGAACAACTAAAATGTAATTCAGATTAGTTTTATGTGTATCCTTTTGCTGTGTTTTAAAAAGACAATGAAATCCCGTTCTTTTAGAGGTCAGTGAAGTAGCCATCTCGAGGTCATAGGAGTAGCAGATAGGGCTCCTCACAAGACTGTAATCAACATGCAGTAAAACTAATTACCTCAGTACTGCAGTAAAACAATCACTCGTGTTCGATTTTGAAAATTACACTCACTTAATTACTTGTAATCCAAAAATAAAGCTAATTTCTTGCATGTACACTGCAAAAAATGAGTATCTTGCCTTCGATAAAACTGTAAATTCAGTATCTTGATTTTAATAGATAAGATTAAGTGCATGTCCTTAAGTATTTAACTTGACATTTCTGTTTTATTGCGTTTTTAAGTAAGAAACGGGTTGAATCAACTCAGATAATCGAAGTTCATCAAGTAAATCAGTCTAAATGAGTCAGAACTACTTAAATTCAGATTGGTTTAACATGACTTGCACTCACAAAGTCAATGTCACTTCTTTGCAGTATAGTAGTAACTTTACTTCAATGTCAAGGCAGAGGTCATAGTAGTTGGGGGTTAATAGGTAATAAAGGGCACATGTGAGTGAATATTACCCAGCGTATATTGTAACACCGAGTCAAAGTCCCGTCTTCCGCCTGCGGACGTATTAATGATTAGTGTACGGTAACTTCACAAGCGAGTTTCAAAGTATTATCTCTGACTTTCAAGGTCACTCCAATGACTTCGAGTTACCGGTTTTCAGTGACCTTGTGTGGGACAGAGGTTATACGAGACAGGTGTAGACAGGTGTAGACAGGTGCCATATTTCTATAGAAAGAACAGAAAATCCAACTTTACACTGCAAAAGAATAAGATCTATAAAATAAGTTACTTGAAATTTACTTGAATTTTTTAAGTAGCTTGGATTTGTTGCTTAAAAAAGCTGCACATTCAATCAAGTTTATTATTATTTTACCTTTTTGTAGATGGAATTTTTATGTTGCAAGATTCCATTACTCCAAAATATAACTTAAATATAACTTAAATGTTGTAATCTTTTAACAATGTATGTATCTTAAGTTGATCCAAAGCAAATATTTTGACCAAAGTTCATTATAATAACACAAAATCTTTAGAAAAAACGGTCAGTCTGCTTAAAGTCAACTTAATATTTTAGTTTAGTATTTAGTCATATACTCAAATCCACAGCTGATATGTTAAATTTGAAATATTGTTTGTGTAGATATTACGTTTTGCAGTGTACAACATGATTTATACTTTAATTTCACACTCTATTGACAGGATTCTCTATGCGTTGCACATTGTTCCAAAGAGTTTCATAAAATATTGAAAATCAATTCACAGAGGCAGTGGCAGAAGTTCGAGCGGACGCTATGAAACGGCCACGTTAATGATTATTGCGCCGTTATACAATAGCTCCTGGCCTCAAAGTCCATTTTAAGACAATCCACAATGTTCCCATGGCAACCCCAAGCAGCTGGTGATTCAGTCTAACGCGACAAGATGAGCAACCGAATATAGAGCCAAACGTGACCCCTGTACCAGGCGCTCTCTGCAGGCATCCCAACCAACTGCTGTCTGCTCAAGAGTGACGGGAATGAAACAAGTGGAAGCACATGCCACGTTTGACTGGCATGTCGTCAAACTCAAGCCCGGGGACCAAATTTGGCCCGCGATATAATTATATTTGGCCCGCGAGATCATATCAAATGTGTATTAGAGCTGGTTTGCCAGCTACAGATAGACTATAGAGACATTTCTTTAAAATTTTTTTATTATTTTATATTCTGCTTGTTCTGGATTCAGTGTTTAAGCAAAACTATTATTAAACATTTATTTTAATAAAAGATTTAACATTACAGATCTCGAAAGATGAGAAAACATGCAGATGTTTTTAAATATTTAGTTTGGTCCGCGACTTAGTCCTAGTTTTTAATTTTGGCCCTTTGTGAATTTGAGTTTGAGTTTGAAACCAGACTTATTTCTAGTAAATATTAATTCTTTTTAGATCTTACTTTTTGCAGTTTTATGTTTGGAGTATTTGTTTTTTTTTGCGATTAGATTTGGAATTAGTTTTAAATTGTCATTTCACAGTTAAATGTGTCCCGGAGCTTTAACACGGGAGGAAAAGAAAAAAAAAAGACCCAAATCTGAATTTCTAAAGTAATCCAAGAATCATACGCATTTCAGAACATTTTTGTGGATTTCTAAACTACAGTGTGTACAGCTTTTACACAAAATAAGACCCGATGGAGACACAGAGAGAGCATTTGACACAGAAGAACATTTCAGAACATGTTTGTGGATTTCTAAACTACAGGATTAGAAGGTTTTATACAAAATAAGACCCCGTGGAGACACAGGGAGGGCATCTGAAACAGAAGAACATTTCAGAACATGTTTGCAGAGGTCTTAACTACAGGCTTAGCAGCTTTCGTAGAGTTTGCGAATCGTGAATCATGAAATTGTTTTTAGATTTTAGATTGCAGTTAATCATATGACCTTATTTTCATTTTTTTTTTTGTTCTTCCTACATTGAACACGTAGGTTGTGTAGCATTGTAGCTCATCACGTTACACTGGCATAACTCCTTTGCCTATTCACCCAGGCTCTGTAGGCGTATTCAAAACACTGTGTAGGCCCGTCCAATGTTCATTTGAGCACTTCACATTTCTGCATCCTACATTCAATCCAGGGACATTTCTGTTTGTGGGGGCCCTTGGCGAGATTTGGTTTCAATAGTGAAAATCCTAAAAAAAAAAGTGACAACATCCAGTAATACAATCAACTCAACCTCAGGAGTAAAAAGTCTTTGGAATTTGCAAAAATAAAAACTTGCTAAATTCAATTCAGTAGTTTAGTTAAGTTTAAGTCGTTTGTACATTGGGGTGTAACGATATCCAAGTCTCACGATACAATATCATCACGGTATGAACCTCACTGTACAATATTCAATGCGATATCATGGAGAAGCTTGCAATATGGTGGGGGATTCTCACGATTATGGATGTAACAATATCCAAATCTCTCGGTACGATATTTTCACGATATACATCTCACGGTACAATATTTATTGCGATATTTTGTGAATATGCTACTTTTTCCTTCTTAAAATGCCTTGACAAGACTTAATCCAAAGAACTAAGACTTAAAAGTGTTAGAACTGTTATTTCTTCTTGTAGTCTGCACTGAAATGGAGCAAAGGATCATGGTCTATGTAGTTCCTCTGTCTTTTTTCATCTATTGCTGCACCTTAACTCTTCATTTAGGCAAAGAGACTTGTAATTCGATATATTGTGATGGTCCACGATATTATTACGAGAACTTTGACGAATACGATATCACGATATTTCGGTTAATGTTACATCCGTAGTAGTCCCGATGTTTATTAGCTATATGTACTATAAATCAAAGCATTTAAGCAAAAGATTTTGTAACACGATATATTGTAACACCCCGTGATATTATTGTGAGACTTTTGACGATACGATATCACGATATTTCGGTTATTGTTACATCCCTATTTGTACAATCTGGGCAATAATTTGAAAATACTTTTAAATATTTTGTTTTAGAATTACATCTCAACTGGTCAAACTACTCAAGATTTAGGTTAAAAGTATAATTTTATGTCAAGTTTATATTAAAGATTGTATATTACTATGCTAAAATATTGTTACTGCATCAAAAATGTGTGTGTCCAAAGCTGCAAATGCTCTGTTCGACCTTGTGATGTCATGAAGTGGTAGTTTTCAAGTTACCTTTTTTACTTTTAGTTCAGTAGAGATTGGAAATTTAAAGACTGAAATTATCCAAATGATTCTAGTGAGAGTGTATGGATTTAAAAACACAGTGGAGCACTTCCTGTATTACCAATGACATCACAAGGTGGAACAGTGTGTTTTCAGAAGGACACAGGGTCATCACAAACAACTCCAGGTATGTTTGTGATGAGGAAACGACATAACACAGATGAGAAAATAACATAAATATGGGCCCTTCAACCTCAACTAAAATTAGCCTAACTGGAAAATTCCTAATCATTTCTAAGGTTACACTTTAAGCCTTGAGGGGCCCCTTCTGTGCAGATGGGGCCCTTTGCATATTTCTAATCTATTTATTATCGCAAACGCCACTGAAATTAAATCAATCGGTTCTGGACCACTTGACCAGTATAGGGCGTTTTTATACGGCCCCCGCACCAGATTTGGCACGCTACGTTAGCGGGCTAATGGCTAATTGGTTCAGCCGCTAGAAAAGGGCCACTCCACGAGGGACACACATCGTCAAAACATTGGCGTAGCTGTTGTAAATGGAGATGGATGGGCAGGGACTGTTTGCTCAATGTAAACACCCACGCTATGCTAGGTTGGCTATTGCACTAATGCCACTTGTGCCTTGGTATGGTTAGCCGCCTATCTGCAATCAGTCAACTGGTAATACACTACAAAAACTACACACAACTTCAAACTTTTACCTCAGCATTTTGACTAGTTTTGAATAATTTTTTGCTCTTATTGAACTCAAGATTGTTTTAAAAAGTCAACATTTTCTTATAATACAAACTTGGCAATTAAAATTTTAAAACCAAATATCTTTAAAATTGTAAAAAGCAATTGTTTTGACCAAAGTTCATTTACTTCATTGTAAAACTTTCAACGAAAATCCAACCTTACTCTGCAAAAATAAGATTCATAAAAGAAGTTACTTGAAAGGCACTTGATTTATTTATTTTATTTTTTTTTTTTTTCAGTAGCTTGGACTTGTTGTGTTTAAATTTGCAGATTTTTTTTTTTTTTTAAATCATGTTTATTAATATCTTAGCTTTTATTTAGATAGATTTTTAATAGCTAACATACTCAACTTGAAAACTACAGTTTGTTTTTTGTAAAGATGACTTGGACTAAGAAAGTTTCATCATGATTTGAGTAAATTTCACTTGATGAGTAAAATTATCTACCAGTGGACTTTTTGTACTTAAAATATGAAAATACATCTTTCTTTGCACTTAAAATAAGACAAACAAAATGTAATGTTGCGTAAATTAAAAGTAAAACACACTTATTCCATTGGTAGATAATTTTACAAGTTACTAGTTTGCAAGTTTACAAGTTGAATCTACTCAAATAAAGTAAAATATTCTTAATTTAAGTAATTTTAACTTGCCTAGAGATATAGAAATAAATAAATAAATAAATAATATATATATTATTCATTTATTTATTTTTTCAGTGTACTTTAAATAGCTTACCTTACTTTTAAAATTGAAAAAGCCCTTAGAATGTTCCATATAAAATAATAGAAATAGAAATAGGATGATTTTGTTACTTACTCTTGAATTAAAATGAAATTGTCGTATAATATATTATGGCGGTACAGTGTTTCCCGTAGATTATAATGGCGTGAATAATTTTATTTCATTCAATTCTTTTATTGCTCCCTGTGGAGACTCTTTTTATAAGTTTATGTAATACATTTATTTATTTGGGCTTTCTTTACATTTAGTTTACATTACATGTGTACATGGAAGCATACATAAGCCAAAAGGAGTTGGCTGATGCGTTTTCTTATCAGCACCTCACACTCTCATATGAATGAAGTCTAATTTTGACTATTGGGAGCCATCATAGTCATAGTTTTACTGTCAAAATTCACCAGATATACTCGTCGTATACTAGAATTATATTTAGACTAAACTATTTGGGTTTACTAGAAAATAAATCCACTGAAGTCATAACTACTCAAGATAAACATTTAGATTCAAGTGATTTGCTGCTGCTTTTTGACATGTATTTTTACAGCATACGCCTGGCTGTCGTGTGCTCTTATTTGACATTCAGCAGTCCCTGTCACTGGTTAAAAATAACGCATAGCTCGGAATCACTGACTCATAATGCATTTGTCTTTCGTTTTCTTTCAGGATGATCACAAGTTGACCCTTGATGAGTTACACAGAAAGTATGGAACTGATCTAACCAGGGTAAGTATGCAAGCGAAGTTTACTTAAGCTGTATAAACACTTGTCAAACTGGATTACAGTACGGCACTTCTAAACAAAGTATTATCCAAATTACGGAAAGTTTTGTCAAATTTTACACTGTGTTCCTAACCACAAAAGTTGCCATGTCAAAATAACAATGTGAAAGTCTTTGGTAGAGTAGCTGAAAATTGTAAAAGTTAAGTAGTGGTCCAAGAAATGACTGAATGATGAGTAAGAAAAGTATTCAGGAAAACTACGAGTCAAGTCAGGGCGTAACTTCTGATTTATAATTTCAAGTTAAGTTAAAGTAAGTAAAGGACAAAACATTAATTAATACACAAAATCTGGGAGTTTCAAAGTTTAGACACAAAAATGAGACTGAGAAGATGGAGTTGTGCAGGAAATACAAATGTTCAAATCATATTACTAATATAACTTTTACTCAAGTAAGAGTACTGTTACTTTCAATGAAAATATTTCTCAAGTAGCTGTAAAAGTATGCTGCTAGAAAAGTACTCTGAAAAGTACAATTTCTTTAGTATTCCCCACTTCTGGATTTCGGGGTTGTTGATAAAAAAAGCAAGTTTTATATAACTGCTCTGATTCAGTAATTTCCTACATATTTAAAGGTGCACTGTGTAACTTTTTGGTTGGAAGTCCTGCTTGTTTCTATGGATACGTCATTGCTCTGCCTGGAATGTTCCACAGCTCTACTTTATATTTATTCAATTACAGGTGCGTTTATAGCTCAAAAATACCTAGAAAAACAACATTCTGACTGTGAGCAGAGTCGCCTCTCCACAGATCTGACCTGTAACTTGGTCTGGTTTAGTCTCCATGAAGCTAAAAAGACGTAATGCCATACTGCGAAACATTCTAGACAAAGCAATAACATCTCCATGAAGAAAAACACTTGACAGACCCTCCAAAAAAAAAAAAAGTTGCACATTGGTTTGTAGAGTTCCAGAGCAATTTGTATTCAAGAAAGTTCAGCTGAAAATGGGAATAGTTTTGTTTACAAATTGATCTAGCGCACAGTTATAGAATTTTCAACCAAATCAAGACCTCAAAATCTTTATGGGCAGTGTCTTGAAAATGTTTGGCCATAATTACTCCCCGTAGTTTCCAGTACTCCCCCCATCTCACTCAGTCTCTCCACTTATCCTCCCGTGATCTGATCCTTCTAGTTTACACCAAAACAATGGGCCCATTCATGACCCAACACTGCTCGTATTGACGCACAAACAAGGAGAGAAGGTGCTCTTTTCACTCTTGCTGCTATACGGTACATTCCTGGGGAAAAAAAAGAGAAAGGAAGTACAGTCTTGACCTTGGAACAGTACGAGATGTGCTTTGAGGTTGAGGACGCAAGATGAAAGTCCTTTCTCATGTCTGTAAGAAGAAAGAGTGGACTATATTGTCATTTTTAATTTTAATCTTTATCTTTCACAAACATGACTGAAAATGTAAAGATCCTATATTGCGCAAAGTAGAGTCTTGTGAGCTTCAGGTTATGTTGTAATGTTGTTTCCTCATCACAAACATACCTGGAGTTGTTTTGTTTCATTCACATGTTTGAGTAACTCTTTATTATTAGCCTGTCTATATCTCCAAAACTCACCTTGTCATGTCATGAAGTGGTAGATTTCAAGTTAACAGCTACCTTTTACTTTTAGTTCAGTAGAGATTGGCAATTCCATAGATGAAATTATCCAAATGATTCCAGTTAAGATGTATGGAGTATAAAAACACAGTGGAGCACTTCATTTATCACCACATAACATCACAAGGTGGAGCAGAGTGTTTTCAGTTTGAGAGCAAAACACAACTCCAGATCTGTTTGTAATGAGGAAACAGCATTCTAACATAGATCAGAAAACTGTGTGATTATGGACTCTTTTAAAGATCTTAAATTTTGTGAACTACTACAAACTTTTTATCCAAAATCGCTAAAAACAAAAGCATAACATTTCTTACTGAATACATGCGCGTTTTGATTTGATAGACCAAACCAACACTTAAAGGTGCACAACTTTTTGGTTGGGGTTGCATCACCTTCTTGTTTCTGTGGCATTGCACTGTCTAGAATGCTCCACAGTATGACGTTAAACAGCTGTACCTTTATGTTTATTCAATTACAGGTGGTTTTATAGCTGAAAAATGTAGAAAAACAAACATTCTGACTGTGAGCAGGGTAGCCTCTCCATAAATCTGACCTGTAACTTGGTCTGGTTTGGTCTCCATGCAGATAGAGAGGTTTAATACCATGTTGGCCACGTTTACATGATGATTTTAATTGCTCTGAATTAAAATATTCTTCAAATTTACATGGAAGTAATAATTCCGAATTGAGGTTTAAATCGCCTTTATTTAATTCCTCTCAACATCTGGGGGTCAGGAAGGGTTCTGATTCGACAGTGGATGAAAGTTCGAAGCGAGGACTGGTGGAGCCGAATTGTTCGGATCGCGCCAGAAGGGAGACCGAACGAGCATGCACTGAACGACCGGAATTATTTTTAAAAAGAATAAACGTTTACATGATCCTGGAATAAATTAATTCAGCTTTAAAATTGGATTAAACCACCCACTTACTTATTATTCGGAATTAAGTTCAGTTATTCGAAATTAAGTTTAATTCCGAATAATCAGTTTCATTAGGAGTGTTTACATGGTCTTTTTAAACAGAACTGATTTTTATTCAGAATTAAATTATTATTATTCTGATTTAAAACTGTGAAACACTCCAGACAAAGCGATAACATCTCCATGAAGAAAATCATTTGACGGACACCAGAGACGTTACACAATGCACCTTTTTAGTACGGATGAGTAAAGAGCAGAGACCGGCTCTACTTGTTTCTTTATGGGGTTCCCTTTAGTTTACACTGGCCCCTGGACATGTGCTGCTGCGGCGTGTGTTAGCATAGCTTTCCTTTCATAGGCTTAGCAGCATTACAAGAGAAGGCGTGGCTCTCACTGCGCTGTTTGTTTTGGCTCTCCGCAGGGGCTGTCCGGGTCCAGGGCCAAGGAGATCCTCGCCAGGGACGGGCCCAACGCACTGACCCCTCCCCCCACCACCCCCGAGTGGGTCAAGTTCTGTAAACAGGTAAGTTAAAGGGGCCGCATTACGCACAAGTGACTAACAGGAGCACGTTGCCGGTGTTATCACGCCGTAACCTCCTCAAAAACAAACACTGCCAGTCTAATGTTTGAACACACCATTTACTTTACTTTTTCTTATTTATTTCCATGGTTATTTACATTATAGACCAGGGTAGCCGCAGGGTCTTAAAAGTCTTTAAAAGGTCTTAAATTTCATGTTCCTAAATTAAGGCCTTTAAAAAATCTTAAATTATGTTGTCCAAGTCTTATTTTTTTCACAAAGGTCTTAAATTTCATTAGCCAATTTTTTTTGTAAACTTAACCGGGCTGCAGTGTAATGTTAAAGGGCTCATCTCATGCAAAATCAACTTTTCAGAGCTTCTACCTTCTAAGAGTGATGTGTGGGCCTTGTATATGTCACCGAAGTGTTTTTTAGATTAATTCAGTGTTTTTTTTTAACAAATTGCAGTGTATTTCTGCCACCCTCCCACGTGACAATGAACTAAAGCTGCTACAACGATGACACACCTGACACGGCAGAAAGTGCTTCACATCCGCCCCTGTCCCCCGCCTCCACCACCTCCGCCCCACCTCAACATAAGCTAATAGTTCTACACTGCAGTGAACACGATATAATAAGTTTATCTTCTAGTGTTTATTAATACTTTACCAATCAGTAATGTTCAGCTGATGTTGACACGGTGGGGGGGGGATGAGCAATAGTTGACCTTTCATAGTTCCTGTTCTGTGACTGCCTCCAAGAAATCTGTAAGATTTCATAAGTATTGTGTAATGGATGTTCCAAAACCCAAATTGTGCTTGAGTATGTGCAGAAGATACAATGTGAAAAGAGATATTTTGCATGAGATAGGCCCTTTTAAGTGGAGGGAAAAAAAAAAGAAAACAATGTGAAATCAAGTAACGTGAATGAACTTCTAATTTGGAGTATGCGTGAACAATCCTTTGTTTTCTGGTGCCTGCGGCAATGAGTAAACAATCAGTAGAGTGGAGGAAGACTTCGGATGGATCATGGGGAAGTGCAGGTTTAATCCACAGTGGCTCTTAGATTCTAGATATAGTATTTGATTGGTCATTATTAGAATTGGATCTGTTTTTTTTCGCCCACATAATGGGTGCGATGTTGGTCTTAATTTTCATGTAAGTGGTCTTTAAAAAGGTCTTAGTCTTAAATTTGGGGTACTCAAACCTGGGGGTACCCTGTAGATTCTCACTGATAGTATCGCAACTATGACTTACACATATGGAAGCCTGTCAACAAAAATAAGCTCAAAATGACTCAACTTGTTTTTTTTAGAGGATTTCATTTTTAAAACCACGCTTTGCTTTGATGACTGCTCTACGTATAATATATAGGAAGTATTAATTGTAAAAGAAACGACAAAGAAACATTGAATTAGACGGTGTGTCCAAATTTTTGACTGTGCCTGAAGTTGTTTTCATTCACTCATGTTTGAGAAATCCCAGATAATAAGACTGTCTTCATCCCCAAAGCCCAAAATGATGTATTTCAGTGGTAGTTTGAAGGTTAACCACTAGTTGTCTCCTAGATTGAACTGCTAATTACTACAATACACCAGAATAACCATACAGAATTATAGTTTTCCAAAAGATATTTTCATTTTACCTTGTTGTTTAGTTGAGATGACCAGAGAAAGTCTGCAGTATCTTCAGGTGCACTGAGAAGCACAAATGTTTCAGTGAGGCAAAAATAATAGTTGTAGCTTCAAAGTTTGGCAATTCTATACGCACAACCAGTCCCACGTCACACAGAGCATGCTGTTTAGCTGTTTTAGAGGGAAAATGATCCCTCAGAGCCAAAAAGCTCTGTCTTAGTGACGTTGTTGTTCGTGTTAGACATGCCGAAGAGTTTGTGTGGTTGGGTGTACAAACAATAACAAGAAACCTTGGCTGAAATTCATTCCCCGCCATCTCCACAAAAATAACTAGCTGTAGCATAATAGCTAGTTAGCTGCACCTTACTCCAGGAGCAGGTTAGTTTTTGCTAGCAAATAAATATTGGCCTACTTATTAAAATCTTGATTTAATTTTAATATTGTCTCTTGAAGACTATTGAACAAACAACTACACCAAAAATGAATTGGAGGAAAGAAAACAGAAATGATGCTAGCTCTAAGTTAACTAGCTAACGTGCTTTAAATCTGAGCGTGTGAGTCAAATATACTCTATTAATATTCAAATATAAAGGCAAAAATACAGGAAAACAATTTCTTGCCTGGAGACTCAATGAAATCTGAATAAATGTGCGGGTAGAACACTTCTGGACACTGAGTGCACCTGTTGCTCTTTGTACTTGGGAGTAGACCTGGAACAATAACAGATTTTGCTGGACGATTAATTGACCAAGAATTTATTGCGATAAACGATAATATTGACATTTTGAGACCAATTTCAACTAATATAATGACCATGGAATAAAAATGCAAATACACTTTCAATGATCAATAAACATTACTTTCTAAAAACAAAAACAAAAATATCACAGGAAGTGTAAGACAACCAAAAATAATAGGTCTAAATAAAACAGACTTGTTAACACACTAATGTGTCTGACTCACAGCGAGGACTTGTTCACAAAAATGCACTTGAATAAACCATTGTTGAACCAAACACAACCAAAGCAATAAATAAAATTGATTACTAAGTCTCTGTACCAAAATTGCCCTTTAAAAGTGATTTTAGACACTGACTTACATTGGAATATTGTGTCTTGTCTCTCTGTGGCTGCTCCTGTGAGCCTCGAAGTTTTGATCTTGAAGTGTTCGTATGAACCCGCGACACAGGATGTTATTTCACTATAAGGGAGCCGCTGTCCTGTCTGTGTCGTGTTGGTTTCTTGTGGGATTTCGGGTAGCGATAGAAGCCTTCTGACATTCTCTTTGAGAGCGAGAGAGAGCGAGGAAAACAAACAAGCAAGCAAATAGAATTTATCGCGGCCGGAAAAGTTATCAAGCTCGTTAAAAGTTATCGTACGATTAATTGATTTATTGATTATCGTTACAGGCCTACTGGAGACTCAATGAAATCTGAATAAATGTGCGGGTAGAACACTTCTGGACACTGTTGCTCTTTGTACTTGGGAGACTGAAGGGGCAGGTTTTTATAGTAATTGAATTAAGCTTTTATACGTATCTTTCACGGACAACGAGCGGTAAAGTCATGTATTGAGTAGTCATGTTGATTTGTTGTATTTTCTGTTATTATCTACACATAGGAGTTCTGTATGAATTATGTTAATTGACCCTAATTTAATCCTAATTTAATGAGAGTATATCTGAAATTATCCAAATAATAAGTGATGGTATATGGAGTTTAAAAACACAGTGAAGTTCTTCCTTTATTAGCACTTGATGATGTCACAAGGTGGAACAGAGTGTTTTCAGTGTGGTAGACAAAACACAACTCCAGGTATGTTTGTGATGAGAACACAACATCGTGATGGCTTTACGGCTATAAAATGTTCCACAGCCCAGCGTTAAACCGTATCCCCCAGCTTAGATCAGATTTAAATTTAATGCCACACTTTGGAACATTTCAAGCAATCCAATAAAATCACTAGAGAGACAAAAAGGTAGCAGAACGCCTCACCAGGAAAGTCACACAGTACACATTTAATTAGACTGGAGCGGCCCCGTTTATAACTGGAAGGTTTATACTTTGAAACCAGCTCTGACCTGTTAAATGCAGCCGTTGTGTCCTTGGGCAAGACAAACCCTGCGATTCGTGGAAGTCACTTCAGGTTAGCGCGTGTTGGCAGTGATTGAATAATGGACTGTAAAGCACACTGAGAAATCTTTGCGAAGCTTGATTTTTTTATTTTTTTTAACTGTCACACCTCAAATTCACGGAATATTCATTATGTCTTCTTGTAGTACTACATTTTTTGTCGTATCTTGTCATAACTTGTCGAAAGAGGCCTGACCAAAAAAGTTCCTGATCTATATGTATCTGTTTTTAGCTTTTTGGTGGTTTCTCCATGCTGCTGTGGATCGGTGCCATTCTGTGCTTCCTCGCGTACGGTATTCAAGCTGCTTCTGAAGACGAGCCCGCCAACGATAACGTAAGACTATTTCCTACACACAAATGCTTTCTTTTTTCTTTTTTTTTTTTTTGCTTTCTACCATGTTATAACACTGTTCCCTCATTAAAAAAAACTTTCCTGAAGAAGGGTTTAGATGTCATTCATGCGGGTTTGAGTAATCTAGCGATCTCTTCCAGGGCATATTTGAACCCTCTTTACAATTAACTGTGAGATTCTGTTCAAAGCTCCGCCCACAAGTCTACGTCACCCATGCTCACACACAACAAATCTGTGAAAATATACAAAACATGGTACAAAACTGGGCAGAGCAACTTGACGCTGATTGTGTTGTGTTCACGCTCTGAAAGGGGAGTGACTTAGTGCAGAGAGCAAAGGGAGGGGATTCTCAAAGCGTCATAAACAAAAGGGAAACTTCTAAAGCATGCTATTATGTTCTTTTTTTTTGCCAATTATAACTAAAATGATAATAATGTGTGTTAGAAGTTAATCTCTCTATCTAAAAGATCTATTTGAACATAACGCATTTTCGGTCTGTCTCCAGTTGTACTTGGGTGTTGTGCTTTCCGCTGTCGTCATCATCACTGGGTGCTTTTCCTACTACCAAGAGGCCAAGAGCTCTAAGATCATGGACTCCTTCAAGAACCTGGTGCCACAGGTAATGCGGGCTACAAGTCTGACCTCCTCTTGTACAAGCAGAAAGTATACTCTCGTTGTTATTTAGTCATTTTTTTTACAGAGGCTTTACTTACTTACCAGTGTACGTTCCTAGCATTTCTAGCATCCCAGAGCAGAGTTTCTCATTTGTCCTGATTCTCAGAGACTTCATAATTAATTGCAGAAAGTACTAGGGTTGGTACAAGATCTCATGAGACAAAATTGCCACAAGATTGTACGCACATGAAAAAAAATGATCTTGTGAGATTTGTGTTGACATTTGCATTGGACAAAAATGTGTTAAGTACTGTATTGGTGATTTACATATTTTACAATTGCAAAACAAGTACTAGAATGGAAACAAAAATATCAAATTGTAAGTCCAAAACTGGAAATTGAATCTTGAAACGTATATATTACGAATTATGTTTAAAATCTCGTCTTGTTCTTGTGGACCCAGTCTCATGTCTCGTCTCATCTTGTGGAAATTGTATCTCGTCCCATCCCTAGAAAGTGTGCAGCAATCTTAATCTTAACTTTAATCTTAATCTTAATCAAATCTATAAGCAGCAACAACTTTGCTCATACTAACGTCATAACCAGCGGTGGAAGATAACGAAGTACAAAAGTGAAAGTACAATAGTTAAGTACACACTTTAGCTATTTGTGCTTTTACTCAGCTAAATTTCACAGTGGATACTTCACTACATCTGAGAACGTGTATGTGTACTTCCTACTTGATACATTTTAGATCTGGACTGAAAAGTAAAAAGTACTTTTCTTTATGGTTTGAGTATTGTTGAATTTACAGAGACTTTTTTTTTTTTTTTTTTTTTAACACATATAATTTGAGTTCACATCCCAACTCTGAGCAAACCAAATACACAAATGCGACTAGAAAAATTAAGAAATAAATTGAATCACTTCAGATCTGCTAAATTATTTTCAAAAACTACATTTCATCCTTTTAATTGCTCTCTTTAGTCGATTTTTTTCTTGTGATACTTTTACTTTGTAACTTTTTACCTTTGTATCTGTACTTATACTTGGGTAACAAAATTTAGTACTTCTTAACTAACTTCATTCCATAATAAAATATTCTGTAGCTTTTCATTTCACTTTAGACTGAAAGTAGTAGAGAAAAACAAGCTCATCTGCAGTACAAAGGCTGTCATTTTGTTTTTGCTTATTCTGACCTGACCAATATTTATCTTGCGGCTTATTGCCCAGTGCAGTTGAATGCTTCTCCCCTCAACTGCCGTCCAAAACATGCAATTTAGAAATTCTGTTATAGTCTGAGCAGGGCAGTAGTCCGCTTTCTACACCTGCATGTGCGCCTAATGAAACTAGGGATTATGCAAAAGAGCGTAATCCGTATTTGAAATTGCACCGCTGTCACATTTGTTGCTCTCAGGATAAAGCGCGCTCTTCACTTAACAGCCCCTGACGCGTTCCTCCCTTTTGATCTCGTAGCAAGCCCTGGTGGTCCGCGATGGAGAGAAGAAGAACATCAACGCTGAGGAGGTGGTGGTGGGAGACCTGGTGGAGGTGAAAGGAGGAGACAGGATCCCGGCTGATCTCAGAATCATCTCTGCTCACGGCTGCAAGGTCTGTACAAAAAAATAAAAGAAGGAAAAATTACTCATATTTACCCACCTCTGATAATTATTAACAATCTGGTAAAGTTACCAAAACATTAAAGTAAAAAGTAAAAATAACATTCGGTCAGACTGAGTAATTTCTTGGACCACTACTTTGTCAAAATAATAGAACTCAAGCAGGACTAATAATTTGAAGGGCAAAACATTAAATAAAGCATAAAATCTGAAGTAGAAGTATTCTGCTAGAAAAGTACTCAAAAAAAAAGTACAGTTTCTTAAAAAAAGTTACTTGAGTAAATATAACAAAACACTAAGTACTAAGTAACTAAGTACCAGGTATGGTGTGAATGATTAAAAATCTATAAAAGTGTCTTTGTGACATGAAAAACTTGGGGGGAAAAAAAAGCTTACTTTCTCACCTTTTTGATTATTATAGACAAATATTTTCCAAAGTTTGATTGATTGATTGGTTTTTATTTCGAGTTTGTGCCAAGAGAGAAACAATAATCAGGTATACTACATATACATTGTAAACAACAGAAAAGCACGTTTCTCGAAAAGGAGTGGGAAGAAGAAAAACTTGTATTAACCCACCCTGTTGACATAGTTTCAAAAATGATGTGGTTGCTTCTGTACATTGATCACAGAACTTAACAAATATTTACATATAGCAAAATAAATTACATATTATGCAGACAAAATATAATTTTAACCCCATTTTACACATTTTTGTACTGTACACATATGCACAGACACACACACACACACACACATACAATTTTAAATGCTGCAATATGAAAAGTTTGTAGTCACATAAGTAAGTACAGTTGAGTCTTGCTAACAGATAAGACACAACTACATAAAAATGTACTTCAACTAAATGTCTTTGTATTCATTCAAATAATTTAACATATTTAGTTGGAATTTCAATGAATCTACTTAAAATTCTTCCAAATATATACTTTTGATCAACTTAAAACAATTAGATAAGGAAAACATAATTAATTTATTTGAACTGAAGCCAATTGGAGTGCAGGACAAAAACAATAGCAAACCTGAAAACAAAATAAAAATAACTCCCTTCTAATATGTCAGTCTGAACCAACTATAAATCAATATATCTTACACAAAAATGAGTACAATGTAGTGGGGGGGACAAAGGGAATGGGACCCACTTCCTTTTAATTTATATTCGACAGGGCCCCATGTGAAGCTTCTAGCCCCAGGCCCCCAAATTTCCGTTTACGGGCCTGAATAGAGTTAAGATGACATCAAATTGCAGTTTAATACAAAACACAAGTACACTATAAAACGTGGACATCTGTTCTTATGTTATAAAAACAAAATGCTTATAATACGTTATGTTTGCACAGGTGGATAACTCTTCCCTGACCGGAGAATCAGAGCCACAGACCCGTACTCCAGACTTCTCCAACGAAAACCCACTGGAGACAAGGAACATCGCTTTCTTCTCTACAAACTGTGTTGAAGGTACGCACATATATTCATGGTATTTCTGACACATCAAGGACTGTGAAAGTGGAAGCTAACAACATAAAAGTAGTAAAGTTCTGTACTTCAGTAAAAAATGTTGGTATCTCTACTACATTTGAGACCAGATATCGTTACTTTTTACTCCACTACATTTTGGAACAGGACTGAAAAGTAAAAGTATTTTTTTTATTATAGTTTGAGACCTGCTGAAAAGGCCCAGAGGGATTTTTTTTAACACATTTGTAGTGTGAGCAAACAGAAATGTACAATAAAAAACTACTAGGAAAAAAATAAATATTGATGCAGTTCTTTCTGTTGATCAAATTCAGCACAAATCTGTACTCAAAATCACTACATTTTAAGCTTTATTAGATCTCAAAATCTTTGCGAGATGCTTTCATTTTTTCCCTTTTTAAGTGCATTTTTAAACTGCTACTTTACTTTTCAGGGTAACCGCGGGGTCTTAAAAAGGTCTTAAATTTCATGTTCCTAAATTAAGGCCTTCAAGTCTTAATTTATGTTGTCCAAGTTTAATTTTTTTCCCACAAAGGTCTTAAATTTCATTAGCCTATTTTTTATATACTCAACCGGGAGCAGAGCAGTGCAACAATGTGAAATCATGTAACGTGAACGTCTAATTTGGAGTATGCGCAAACAATACTTTGGTTTCTGGCACCGGCGGCAGTGAGTAAACAATCAGTGGAGTGGAGGAAGATGTTGGATGGATCATGGGGAAGTGCAGATTTAATCCACAGCGGCTCTTAGATTCTATAGTGCCGGTAGTTGGTTGGTCATTATTAGAATTGGATCTGATGTTTTTCGCCCACATAATAGGTGCGATGTTGGTCTTAATTTTCATTTAAGTAGTAAAAAAGGTCTTAAAGTCTTACATTTGGGGTAGACAAAACTTTCCTGCTTGTGCTGAAAACTGAAAACTGAGTGCTTCTTCCGCCATTGTATTAACTTTAGAGGAAAAGCAAACGCAATGCAACTTTAAAAAGATACAACTTTCCCCAAACTGTGTCTCTTTTTAAATGACCATTGTGTGCGGTGTTCCCAGGTACTGCCAGAGGAGTGGTCATCAACACTGGAGACCGCACCGTCATGGGTCGTATCGCCACCTTGGCCTCTAGCCTGGAGGGAGGAAAGACCCCCATCGCCATCGAGATCGAGCATTTCATCCACATCATCACCGGAGTGGCCGTCTTCCTCGGAGTGTCCTTCTTCATCCTGTCCCTCATCCTCGGGTACGGCTGGTTGGAAGCCGTCATCTTCCTCATCGGTATCATTGTCGCCAACGTGCCCGAAGGACTGCTGGCTACTGTCACTGTAAGTTTAACCAGGGCCGTAGACAGGAAGGGGCAAAGGGGTCTATTGTACTGGGCCCCAGGCAGTGTTTGGAAGGTTACTTTTAAAATGTATTCCCCTACAGATTACAGATTACATACCCCAAAATGTAGTTTGTAACGTAATCCATTAAATTACTTAAAGTGAGTAATGTAATCTGAATACTTTGGATTACTTGATTTGCTGTAGAGAAGCAAAGACTCGGATATCGTAAGATAACATGTTTTGTCTGTTAAAAGAAAATAAAAAGCCCAGTCTATATTATTGATAGATGAAGAGGAGACACGGTCTGCGCAACATGGTTTCGTCCTGTTAAATCCTGTTTTAGTCCTGGTTTAGATCTAGTTTAGATCTAGTTTAGACCTGGTTTTAGACCTGGTTTTAGTCCTGGTTTTAGACCTGGTTTTAGTCCTGGTTTTAGTCCTGGTTTTAGTCCTCGGTTCAGTCGTGGTTCAATCCTGATTTAGTCCTGGTTTAGACCTGGTTTTAGTCCTGGTTTAGTTTCCAGCAATGAGTGGAATTACACCACTTTACAAAAAAAAGGGATATAGCCCAAAATGGGAAACAGGAAAATACTGCCATGTAATCCATTTATTTCAGCAAAGTAACTGTAATCCAATTACCACTCACTGAAACAGTAACTAACCGAATACAGGTACTCATAATTTGTACTCTGGTACTTGTTACTCCCCAACACTGGTCCCAGGGTTTTAGGGGCCCACATTTAGACCCTTTTTTAAAAATTAATTTATCATATACAGGGGCCCAATGTTAGTCAAAAGGTTGTATGGACTTGCGTGAATTTGGTTGTCAGTGTTTCAGATCAAAGTAATCTCCAAACAAATGATCAGATTTTTAGTAAGAGGCTCATTTGAATGCTTATTTTAATAATTTTGTAACAGAGTATAGTACAAGTATTGACTACTAGTACCTCCAACTTTGTCTGCATCAGTCAACAAAGGATTTTTCTGATGATGGAAAAAAAAAAAAACAGGCTGTGACAGTTTTTGTTTCATGTCAGTAGGTAAAGTAAATAAAACTTTTACATTTTCTATCTTCAAGCCCTTCCAGGATAGAGGTATTTACTGCAGTTGTGGCTCATTTTATTTCAGTAGGAGTTTGTCCTAGATTATAAAATGTAAATAACTTCATACAGGCTATAGCGTTTATGCAAATTTTCAGAGCAATATACTTGAATAAATGAAAAGGCTAAACGTTACTACACTGATTTATATTACATTTTCCCACCACACAGTGACATTACCATAGATTGTTGCTGTGTTCCAAATAGGAAGTGAGCATGATTGTGCTTCTGTCTCCATTGACCTCGGCTCCAGTTCACATTCTGTTGAAAAAATGGCACCCATTCTACACAATCCCGGTGTTTATTGAGCTATTTTGTTAATCTAGACATGAACATTAATAACAAATGGCAATGACAAATCAGGCACTGTCTTTTTCTGAGGCTGGGGCTGCTACCAACAGATTTGATTGATAACGTTGCTAAGCGCCCATCCCCTCCTAAACCACCAGTGCGGGTGGGAAGAGGCGATGACCTTCAACAGCCTCTCTCCGGATTGGCTCTTCGGTAGCTATGATACTCAGGGTCGTAATTTCTAACATGGGGCTCGGCTCCAGATTTTTCATCCTATAGCAGGCGGCCTTGATGAGCTTCATTTGACTGGAGCCGAAGGTCATGGGTGATGTCATACGGCCTTAGTCCACTTCTTTTTACAGTCTGTGGATATTACTCGCATGTATTTGGGGTATTGTCAGTCTCCAAAGTGCTCTTGTTTTAATACTCGAGAGTGTCCAAAAGTCCAACTTTTTGTGCGATGGTTTGCATCATCTTCTGCTTTTTGGGTGCGACCACACGAGCCTTTGTCAATGCAGAACATTTCGTCGACATTGTGGGTTTCGTCGGGGAGAAAACTTGCAAACACACTGCACTTCAGAATCACACTGACAGAGATCCAACATTTATGTATTTACTGTACTGGAGACACGGAGAAGATTGATTGACAATGGCCTACCGTCCCTTAGCCAATCAGGACGCAGGAGGAGGAACACAATGCACGTTCATATGCTGTATAAAAATAAAAATAAAAATTGTTTAAAAAGCATGCAAAATTGGTCTAAAAAGATCTGTGAAACAACAATGAACCGTGTTATAGTGAGGGACGACTGTATTTACCAAATATTTACTACAATATGAAAACCGTTTGTAGTAATGTGTACAGTTGAGTCTTGACACAACTACATAAAAGAGAAAATATTACTTCAATTAGATGTCTTTGTCAATCACCAAAATGCTCTTGTTTTAATACTTTTAATGTGTGATGTGTAGCGGCTAATGCAAAATGCAAAAATTGAAAATGCAGTTCCACAGACGTTTCACTTCCAGACACTGTGAAGGCCTTGAGTCTCTTGAGCTCACTGTCAAACATTTCCCTCCAGGTGTGTCTGACTCTGACGGCCAAGCGCATGGCCAAGAAGAACTGCCTGGTGAAGAACCTGGAGGCTGTGGAGACCCTGGGATCCACCTCCACCATCTGCTCGGACAAGACGGGCACCCTGACCCAGAACAGAATGACCGTGGCCCACATGTGGTTCGACAACCAGATCCACGAGGCCGACACCACCGAGAACCAGAGCGGGACCTCCTTCGACCGCAGCTCCGCCACGTGGGGAGCCCTGTCCAGGATCGCTGGCCTCTGCAACCGCGCCGTCTTCCTGGCTGACCAAAACAACGTGCCCATTCTTAAGGTGAGACATGTTTTTATTGAACAGAAATGGTTAAAATGAGATGTAACAAACTCATCAGGCTGCACCTCCATGAACAGTCTCGCCCACTTTCATAATTTTTTTTCTCCATAGATTTTCTTAAGGTGCATTTTGTAACTTTTCTGGTTGAGTCTTCGTTAAATTCTTTTCTCCGTTCAGATGTTATTGCTTTGTCTGGAATGTTTCAGTATGGTATTAAACCTTTCTATATTCAGGGAGGCCAAACCACACCAAGTTACAGGTCAAATCTGCGGAGAGGCGACCCCGCTCACAGTCTGAATGCCTGTTTTTCTGTGTTTTTGAGCTATAGGTATTTATTTAGGTACATTTGAGTTATACAGGGTAGCTGCAGGGGTCTTAAAATTCTTAAAAAGGTCTTAAATTTCATGTTCCTAAATTAAGGCCTTAAAAAGTCCAAGTCTTATTTTTTTCACAAAGGTCTTAAATTTCATTAGCCTATTTTTTGTAACCTCAACCGGGCTGCAGTGCGATGTTAAACGGAGGGAAAGAACAACAACAACGTGAATTAACATAACATGAATGAACGTCTAATTGGGTGAATGCGCAAACAATACTTTGGTTTTTGGCACCGGCGGCAGCGAGTAAACAATCAGTTCCGTCTATACTGCCCAAGATGCAAAACTCTGGTCGTGTTTATGTCACATACATCATCACTGAGCGTCACCACTGAGCCGCATACACAATCGAATTCAACACACTTTTGCGTCACTGTATGCACACAGATTTCCTCCTGAAACGTGGAATAAAAAGTGAAGAAGCGATGCCACTTTTGCGTCTTCTGTTAGGACCGTCATCATATAAACGTAGCCTTAGATTCCGGTAGTTGTTTGATCATTATTAGAATTAGACCTGGTGTTTTTCGCCCACATAATGGGTGAGACGTTGGTCTTAATTTTCATTTAAGTGGTCTTAAAAACGTCCTTAAAGTCTTAAATTTGGGGTAGTCAAACCTGGGGATACCCTGTTATAAACTCCCCTGTAATTGAATAAATGTAAGTTAAAGCTGTTTAATGTCATACTGTGGAACATTCCAAGCAGAGCAATGACATATCTTTAGAAACAAGAAGGTGACAAACCCCCAATGAAAAAGTTACATAGTGCATATTAATACTGAAATATGAAGAGTTAAAAGGCACGGCGGAGGCTAAGCAGTTATGTGACAAATTAATTCCCTTAACATAGTTGTTTCAGTTATAAAACACATTTAAAACTTCAAAATCTGCAAAATGGCATCAATTATACGGGAGAAATAAATGGAAAACTTACTTACTGTTGAGTTCCATTAATTTACAATGTCGTTTTTTTTCTGCCTGCTTTGCTACTTGGCAAGTGCACTTTATAACATTACATTATGCAACTACGCTGCTGAGTACAAAAGATTTATGGGGAATATAGTTTAATTATTCATTTCAACAGTGTGTAATTGAATTGAGTTTAATTTGTCTTTTCTGTAACTTAAATCCGCAGAGAGATGTGGCTGGCGACGCCTCAGAAGCTGCTCTCCTCAAGTGCATTGAACTGTGCTGCGGATCTGTCGCTGGCATGAGAGAAAAATACCCCAAAGTTGCTGAAATCCCCTTCAACTCCACCAACAAATACCAGGTAATTTTCTTTTTTTTGTTTCTTTTAATTTCACGCATTTATTGTGGTGGACTTCATCAACGTTTTCTACTCTATTGTTCTCAGCTCTCCATCCACAAGAACAGCACACCCGGAGAGACCAAGCACCTGCTGGTCATGAAGGGAGCCCCAGAGAGGATCCTGGACCGCTGCTCCACCATCGTGCTCCAGGGCAAAGAACAGCCCCTGGACGATGAGATGAAAGACGCCTTCCAGAACGCCTACGTAGAGCTGGGAGGTCTCGGAGAAAGAGTTTTGGGTATGCCTGTAATAGTTCCATCTAGTTCCACTGTGTTGTCAGTTATTACAGTTAGTAAGGATACATCTTATGCAAATTTGACTCTTTTGAGCTTTTAACAATGTCATAACATTGTTTCCTCATCAAAAACATGCCTGGAGTTCTATTTCTTTTGTTTTAGGAGTCCCTTGAGCCTTCACAAAACACCTGGTTTGAAATTTCCCAGGATTGTTGCATCATAGGTTGAAATCCTGTTGTAGAAATCCAGTTTTTAGTCATTCATAATCATTGCCGGATTTGTTTTAAGCATTTCTCCCGTCAGTTCACATTCATTAGCTTTTCTCCCCATGTTAATTCCCCCTGTGGCCAATAGATGGAGCCATATATCACAGTCCATCATGGGGAGTGCTCAAGCTGAAAAAAATAATGCATGTTTTTTGTACATGGTCATTATTTTAAGATGGAAAAACTTCACATGTCATAGCAAAGGTACTCAAGAGCATGTTTAAATGCCAGTACACGATACAAAAAATGCACACACTAAAATAGAGTAACATATAAAACAATGTAATATGATCAAAAAACCAAAGCAAGAGAATAAAATTGGTCTTATCACTAACTTCAGGAATTCTTTTCTCTTTAAGGTTTCTGCCACTTCAGCTTGCCCGATGACCAGTTCCCAGAAGGCTTTGCTTTCGATACAGAGGAGGTGAACTTCCCCACCGAGAACCTGTGCTTCGTCGGACTCATGGCTATGATCGACCCTCCCCGTGCCGCCGTGCCAGACGCTGTGGGCAAATGCAGAAGTGCCGGTATCAAGGTATGAAGACCTCAAATTTAAGCCAGCACCAAAAACTACACAGATTTTTTTTTTTTTTTTGTTAAATGTTTGTTGTTTCTTCTGGTAGGTCATCATGGTGACAGGTGACCACCCCATCACAGCTAAGGCCATCGCCAAAGGTGTGGGCATCATCTCTGAAGGCAACGAGACCGTGGAGGACATCGCTCAACGCCTCAACGTTCCAGTTTCTGAAGTTAACCCCAGGTAAGATCACAAGCTGGAGATATTAGAATCTAGATTACCGTAAAGGACACGCATTATGCATTCTTGTGGCTTTAGATAATTGTTTTTGACATTTAAATTTAGGCGTTGTAGCTCCCTCTGCTGTCAGCAACGGGAATGAATAATGAGAAAATAAACACAGGCAAAATTTGAATACAGTAGGAGTCTGATTTGGTTTAGGCAAACATGTGATGCAACAACTTGGCCTGATTGTTGCATACTTTGTCGTAATATTTTTTATCAAAACGTATGTAGATTTGCATTTTATCGATGTTAGATTGCCATGTACTTTTAGTCAAATTATGTTTTTCGCTGGGTTAGCACTGCTTCACTTCACTTAAGATAAAAATGTGGCTGTGTTTTCCATCTGCATATCCAAATGAAATGAGGCGTTAGAGATTTTCTTTTAGTTTTAAACTGTAATATACATAGATTAATTATTTTAAACTAAAATAATAATCTAAAATTGGATAATAACAGAAATATGTCCATTGACTTTCAGTTCAAAATGGCAGAACTTTCTTTGTATTTTATCTTTTATACTCTTCTTTAAACTGACAAGTAGAAGATTTTTGTTTACATTTTTTAACTACATGAATGACAGTCTGAATTTTCTTTGAACAATTGCAAGTAAGTACGGAGCAGTGGGTGGAGATGGGGGGTAGGTGAAAACAGACATTTTCAGAACACTCAGACACATGACAATACAGGATTACGCAAATCAATTGAATGGAACTCACAAAAACCTCTAAGCTTAGATTTTTAAATGTCATCCTCTTTAAGGTATATATAGAATATGAAATACTTAAACTAAGGTGTCTGTTGTATATTTTTTAAGTACGCCTAATATAATCCCTTTAAGTGGCCAGACTGCGAATTTGTTCTTTCAGTGCTAAAAAATGTAATCAGAGTTTGGCTAACGAAGCTTGTTCTCCACTGGGCCAAGAGGCTTTTACCATTCGTTTACTGCAGAGAAATAAATCTACACGGGCGGCTGGCTTCGCACTCCCCTCATCAGCAAATTTCCTCTGAACGTTCTCCAATCTCGCCTGCCCCCGTCCCCCAGAGAACAATTAAAATGGCAGGCGCACTTAGCGGTTTACCCTCGCCAGTGTGGTACTTTAAAGGGTCCCTATTACGTTATTTTCTGGTCTGTTTTGTTGTTTCTTCATCAAAAACAGACCTGGAGTTGTGTTTTTGTTTCCTTCACACATCTTCAACACACAAACCCTGCATATTTAGGTTGAGTTCTTCTCTCTGAACAAAATCTAGAAGGTCACAAAGTCGAACAGAGCAGTTTGAGTGTTGGAAATGTAGACTGACTAATAATGTCAAATGATCAACTCCGGGTATGTTTTTGAGCCGGTAACAGTATTGTAACATGGTATAAAGCTCGCAAAAGTAAAATTTGATCACAACTTTTAATGAGTTTTGGTCCCTCTCCTCCGCAGGGATGCCAAGGCCTGCGTGGTGCACGGGGGTGAGCTCAAAGACATGACCTCAGAGCAGCTGGACGACATTCTCAAACACCACACAGAGATTGTGTTTGCCAGGACCTCACCACAGCAGAAGCTCATCATCGTGGAAGGATGCCAGCGCCAGGTTAGCGTGTTAGCAAGTTTGCATGCCGGAGAGAGGAAAGTTGGCAGCAAATAAATAAAAGTAAAAAATATGGAATGAAAATGAACTACTCAAAGAACTACTTTAGTTTTTAGTTAATGTTCAACACTGTTTTAGTATAATTTTAGATCAATCTTGGACCTTTGGTTATTGTACTTTACTCCAATCATTTTAAATGTAATGAAGTATAACGTATTTTAAAGACTATTAGATGCACTCTTAAGCCTCTAATCCCATCAAAAAACGACCACACGCGACAATCCAGAGCGCCCTATACACGAATCCACTCGGGTGTCCCAGCACGACTTCAGTAAACTACAAAGCTGCACCACCCGCAGAACACGCAAACACACACGGAGCAGACAGCGACCGCGCAGAGAAACACACCCACAGACACACTCATCACTCCACGTCGCGAGGAACGGAACAGAGGAACAAACAAACAAAAAAAAGCGAGTGCAATGTGCCACTTCTAGACACAACTGAACAACTGAGTCACTCGCCGACAATCCGTTGGTCCCAGACAGCACCTCCCTACACGCCACAACTGAACAAAGCCCAGAGTCACCATGAACGAACAAACAAACAAAACCACTCACCCATCACACTGTTGTGTTTCCTTTAAAGTCCAGTGTGGTTTATTTGTGAAAAAAGTTTGAAAATAGACCATTTAATAGTGCGTCTTATAATCCAGAGCGCCTAATAGCCCGTAAAATACGGTAATCACATTGTTACAAGTATATTCAAACAAACTGCTCCAAAAAAATACAATTACCACAAAAATTGCACTAATGTGAGTTTGGGGTTTTTCCTTAAGAGAAGTTGTTAAAATGTACCTTGCTGCCTTTTGATTCTCAGTCCTTAGAAAGACTTTGAGAAATGGATGTTTTGATATTTCATAGAACAGTGGCTCTCAAACCTTTCACCAGTGATCAAAGAAAAGATCTGGCTGTTTGAGTACCACCAGATCTAAGCCAGGTCTAAACTAGGACTAAACTGGACCTAAAAGTGGACTAGCCTTCATCATTGGCACTGCAGTTCTAAATAAGATTTTATCCAGAGGAGAGAAAAATTGACAAACTACTTATCTAGAATTACCTGTTTCTGATATACTCTCTTACCTTGCACCTGTCGTCATCCTCTCTTCAGGGAGCCATCGTGGCTGTGACAGGTGACGGTGTGAACGACTCTCCCGCCCTGAAAAAGGCTGACATCGGCGTTGCCATGGGAATCGCCGGCTCCGACGTGTCCAAACAGGCCGCAGACATGATCCTGCTGGACGACAACTTCGCCTCCATCGTGACCGGAGTGGAAGAAGGCCGTCTGATCTTTGACAACCTCAAGAAGTCCATCGCCTACACCCTGACCAGCAACATCCCCGAAATCTCTCCTTTCCTCCTCTTCATCATCGCCAACATCCCACTGCCGCTCGGAACTGTCACCATTCTCTGTATCGACTTGGGAACTGACATGGTAAGGGTTTCTTTTGTGGAATCTTGACAAATATTCCGTGACGGTTTGTGCTCGTTCTGGCTGAGTCTGTGCTGCAAATTGACTGTGGCTGTGTCTCCAGGTCCCTGCCATCTCCCTGGCTTACGAAGCAGCTGAGAGCGACATCATGAAGAGACAGCCCCGAAACCCCAAAACAGACAAACTCGTGAACGAAAGACTTATTAGTATAGCATATGGTCAAATTGGTAAGTACCCAATGGCCGATGTCCAAAAGCTTTTTTAAATTTCTAAATAACATTTCATCAACAAGCCTTCGTCAGATCATTTTTCCTGCTTTGGACCACAGTACACAAAATGGTTGCCATTTGTGGTTATACTGTGATTATCTAGTAGCTTAATTTGTTTACATTTGTAGAGTAGCCATGTGATCTAGAGAGAATAAATGAGGGTCTTTTTACTTAAATTAGAGGGGAATTGAATAAGTCAATACTGAACGATGTTTAAGGAGAATAGGTTTGATTGAAGATCAGTTTCAAATAGACTTAAACTGGATGTAATAAGACTATTTGCAGGCTGATTTTGTCATTTATCTGGGTCCAACAGTATTGTAGTTGCAGCTTTTTCACTCCATACCTTTTTACTTGTGGAGTAATACATATTTTCATGAAGTTGGTGTGAAATATAGATGCAGTTGTACACAGTGGTTATATCTTGATTGTATTCAGTTGAAGTAACCTTATTTTACTTACATGTTTGGCTACTCTATCAACTTTAACTCTAATACTCTAACTCTTCTTGCTTTGTGCAGGTATGATGCAGGCCGTAGCCGGGTTCTTCACGTACTTTGTGATCCTGGCTGAAAATGGCTTCCTGCCCATGGACCTGCTGGGCATCCGAGTGCTGTGGGATGACAAATACGTCAACGACCTGGAGGACAGCTACGGCCAGCAGTGGGTGAGTGTTACGAGCTAGCTTTTCCAGCACACTGCCAAAATATCTGGCGTCGAATCAAGACTTAACTTTCTTGCAAGTCATTCTCCATCTTACACAGCGCTGATTCAGAGCTGGAACTTTTCTGGTAGAGGGTCTGGCAAATGCTTTCCCCCGAGGAGATGTAATCACGCTGTCGCAGTATGGTACTGAACATTTCAATCTTCATGGAGACTAAACCAGACCAAGTTACAAGTCAGATCTGTGGAGAAGATCTGTTTGAAATGACAAAGAAACAAGCAGGTGATGGACTCCCAACCAAAAAATGACAGTGCACTTTTACATAGTAGATGCTAATAAACCAAATATGCTCTTCCTTTTTCAAATTTAAATACATTTTCCTTCCCAATTTAAATGAAAATTTTAAGCGTCAAATAAAATAAATTAAAACAAAACATAATAAAATATAATGACACTTTTTTTCCATTGCATTTTGTATATTACATTATATTTTCAAATTAAAATGTAATGTAATACTTAATCTTCAAGTACACTCATAAAATGAATACTTTTCATTCAAAATGAAGCTCGAATGTTAAAGGTACACTATAACTTTTTGGTTGGGGGTCCGCCACCTGATTGTTTCTATGAAAATGTCGTTTCTCTGCCTGGAATGTTCCACAGTGTGACATTAAACAGCTCTACCTTACATTTATTCAATTATAGGTTGTTTTTGTAGGTATTTTTGAGCTAGAAAACCAACATTCTGACCACGAGCGTAGTCGCCTCTCCGCAGATCTGACCTGTAACTTGATCTGGTTGAAAATAGTAATGTTTAATACCATACTGTGAAAGATTCAAGACCAAAAAATAACATCTTCATTTAGAAAAGCATGAAAAAGAAGAAAAGTTACACAATTCACCATTTTTAAGAGCGTATTTTTTTTCAATTATTCTATGTACAGTGTAAACCTGACTATATACTGCTTCTTTTTCAGACATATGAACGCAGAAAGATCGTAGAGTTCACCTGCCACACGGCCTTCTTCGCCAGCATCGTCATCGTGCAGTGGGCCGATCTCATCATCTGTAAGACCAGGAGGAACTCCATTCTACAACAGGGAATGAAGTACGTACAGCGCAGTCACGAGCACCTTCTGAACAATGTTTATTTCGAGTACACATTTAAAATTTTGACAAAGTTCCTGTCTTTGTTTGGTCATGTTTTACGTAACAAATTGGCTGACCAGATGTGTTGTGATTTGATTTGTACTAGATTGTATTTAGTCGATTAGGTTCACGTTATAGAATTTGGAGAATACGTAGTTTCAGATGGAGGGCAGGAGCCTATAGAATTCTGTGGGAGATTTGAGCTTCATGTGGATTGGCCAAGTAATAAATTAGTACCACAAATCTGCAATCTGACAGTTAAGAAGCAAATTCCAAAATTAGACTTCTGACTCCAGCTCAGTTGAAACTATACGGATTCTACAATGTTGCGATGTCACACTCCCAAAATTATTCTGTTTCTGGGAAAAATGATTTGACAATATTCCCTAACTTTCATTACCTGCTTGCTTTACAGGAACCGTATCCTGATCTTCGGGCTGTTTGAGGAGACCGCTCTGGCTGCCTTCCTCTCTTACTGTCCTGGTATGGACGTGGCCCTCAGAATGTACCCTCTCAAGTAAGTCGCACTTCAGTCAGTTTTCTATTTTACATACTGTAATACTGATTTTGTTTTATTTTCAACTAAGTAATCAACAGTTTAGTCCTGATTTGTGCCCATGGAGTTTAGTCCTAATGTAGATTTGGTTTGGTCCTGTTTTAGTCCTGGTTTAGTCCAGTTTCATTACCAAGTTTAGTCCACTTTGGTCCATTCGATGAGATAGGGTCCTATACTATTCAAGTTTGGTCACAGTACATAATATTAATAATAGGGACGCACCGATAAAGCTTTTTTTGGTTCTGATACTTGATACTTAACCGATACTAGTGAAGAAACAGAAAAATGCCCTTCAGACACTAACTGATTGCGCAAGAGATCTGTTAGATCTTCAGTTAACTGTGTTTGAAGAGCCTTTTCCTGTTCCTTCACTGTTCTTGTTTATCATCAGGTATTCGCAGATACGTAAAGTCAAAATATCGATATTGACATTGGTATCGGAACAGAAAAACCTTGATCGATCCCTATCTTAAGGTGACCAGAATTTCAAAAAATCTGTTTTAGGAGGTTGATAATAAAATTGTGAAACTAATATATACAAGGGAAATTGTAATGCACTCGGTGAGTCAGTACAGTCACATTTTCTTTGTGTTTTGGTCATTTTTAAGCAGCTTTTCTGTATGACAGTTGTAATGTAACGACAAAATGTAAAATGTAATGACAATTTATGCCTCTCTTTTTTACTGTTTGTAGGGATCAGATTGGTCAAAAATAGGGACACCAGTCACATTTCTTGAATAAAACTGGGCCAAATCACTGGTTTGTGGATAAATGTTTGGACAGGGGACACAAGGCTCAAAACTGGGACTGTCCTGGGTAAACAGGGACGTCTGTCTTAATATTAATATTAGGCTTGGGTGACCAGTGACCAAACTTGAAAACTGTAGGACTTTATCTGTCTGAGATGTTATGACAAAATCAGCATGTAAATATTTATTATATCCAATTAAAGGCCCAACCAAGGTATCAGTTTAACAAATATCACGAAAGTGATACAGGATTAGAGGTGTGCGAAAATATTGAAATATCAATATATTGTATTGTTTGATTTGATGATACAGTATTGATATCATGTCTTGCCATATTGATATATTGCCAATAGTGTTTTTAGGTATATTTTACTCAATTATTTTGTATAAGGGCAACAGTTGTGTTGAAATTTTCACAGTTTTGATGAGTTAAAATGGGTATTTTTTATATTAACTTATTAACAGACTTAGTGGTCTTTGTAGACTGTTTTTCACTTGAATGTCTCGTATCGAATCATTTTAAATCGAAAGTGCACTGTATCGAAAACTTATCAAATCTTTTGCCTATGTATCATATCAGCGACCTCTTAATGATGCCCAGCTTTATACATGAACCAGCTAATTTTTCAGTACTGACGGGGATATTTGATACAAGTATTGGTATTGTTGCATCCCTAATTAATAACTTTCTTTTTAATATCCATGGTATCCAAAAGTATTTAGCGACTTTGTCTATGTGCTAGCTAGGAGCCCAAAGCCTTATTTACCACACACAGTTACTTTGAAATGATCTACGCCCAAACAATACGACGCCAACCTAAGAGATGCTAACCCATAATAGCTCCGAATGCTCCGCTCCCATCATCTAATTACACTTCTATTTGTGTTCCCGCTGATTTACGACGCTGTATTAATACGCCTCACATTGATGAATAATTCCCGCGCATTTGAAAGAAGTAATCCATAAAATCCTATTTGTGCTAATGTGCCTGTATTAGCCGCCGCGTTAGCCTGGCAGCGCGATGCTAGTTTGATCCTATTTCCAGACGGGAGGTATTCATGCGGGCTCGCTTTCATCTCTCTTCTGATCAGACACAAGCGCACACATAATATGATGTGTGGAGTTAGTCAGGAGAGAGTGTTTTTACAAACACTGGAGAGCGCGGCTAAAGCTCATTAGCGCACCAGCTTCAAATGGAGCCTCATTAGCATAGCCAATCTCTGCTCCTCTCCTCTTCTGGTCTATAGCTGTCTCTATTCTCCTGTTTTTGTTTCTCTCTTTCTCTTTTCTCCTTCTTTACTCTTTCACTCTTTCTCCTCTTTTGCAGTTTCCTTTTCCTCCTTTCCTTTCTCTTTCTCCTCCTTTACTGTTTTTTTCTTTTTTCCTCCTTTCCACTTTCTCCTCTGTTCCTTTCTTTCTCCTTTCCTGTTTCTCTTTTTCTCCTTTCCTCTTTTTCCTTTTCCTCCTTTCCTGTTTCTTTCTCCTCCTTTCTTTTCTTTTTCTTTCCTTTCTTTCTCCTCGGTTCCTCTTTTTCCTCCTTTCCTGTTTCTTTTTTTCTTTCTCCTCCTTTCCTCTTTGTTTTTTCTCCTACTTGTTTTTCCTTCTTTCCTGTTTCTTTCTACTCCTTTCCGCTTTCCTTTCTTTTTCCTCCTTTCCCGTTTTCTCCTCCTTTCCTCTTTCTCTTTACTTTCCTCTTTCTCCTCCTTTCTTCACTCATTTCTTCTTTCTTTCTCTCTCTCCAATCTTCCCTTTCTCTCTCTGTCTCTCCAGTCCTTTCTTTCTCTCCCCCTCTTCTCCTCTCTCCCTTTTCCCCGTTCTCATCTCTTCATCATTTCACTTTTATTTCTCTTGTCACTTTTCCTTTTTTTTCGTTTCTCTCTCCCTCAATCTTCTTCTCTCATCCTCTGTCCATCTCCCTCTCTCCTCTTCCTTTCAACCCCACTTATATTTTTCCACTTTCCTCTCTTCTTGTCCTCTTCTTTCCCTTCTCTACTTCCACTTTCCTCTGGTTATCTTTCGTTCTCTTCTCTCACTCTTCCTCCACGCACAAAAATACACTTTTCTCTTCATGTTTTTTAAATGAATTTCCTTTTCCCTGTAAATAAAATGTCTAATTTGTTTTCCGTGTCTAGACCCAGCTGGTGGTTCTGTGCCTTCCCATACTCCCTCCTCATCTTCTTATACGATGAAGCCAGAAGATATATCCTCCGACGCAACCCGGGCGGTAAGTCCACACTGCTCCTCGTGTAAATCAACAAACTTTTGCAGAGACAGGATCTTTGTAGACCTTGGTAAATCATCAGAAGTCATTATTGGGCCCAACCAATATGGATTTTTTGCGGCTGATAGTATTTCGATAAAACGGGAGTTGGAAGTGCTGATAGCTGATATAAAATAAAGATTTACAGTGAATTTTTACATCACTAAATATATCAACATATTTAATGATGTAAAGATTCACTCTAAATCTTCAGTTGATTATAAAACTTAGGTCTGGCTCTACTGGATTTTAAAATGGGTTTGTTTAGGCGACATTTATTGTTATTCTTTACAATCATATTTAAAGACGGTAGGTCGGCCTAATGGCATTTTTGTGTGACATTCTAGCCAGTAAAGAAAGTAAACTACTGTTATTAGCCTTAAATGGTAAATAATATCGTGGACCATCACAATATATCGAATTACAAGTCTCTTTGCTAAAATGAAGAGTTATGGTGCAGCAAGAGCTCAAAAGAGATGGAGGGAACTACATAGACCATGATCCTTTGCTCCTTTTCATTGCAGACTACAAGAAGAAATAACAGTTCTAACTCTTAAGTCTTAGTTCTTTGGATTAAGTCTTGTCAAGACATTTTAAGAGGAAAAAGTAGCATTTTAACAGTTTTGTTGCCTCCACAAAATATTGCAATAAATATTGTACAGTGAGCTGTATATCGTGAAAATATCGTACCGAGAGATTTGGATATTGTTACATCCCTAATCGTGACCCTCTCCACAATATCATGAGCTTTTCCACAATATCGCAATAAATTTCATGCTGTGGCGATATCGTATCGTGACACTTGATATCGTTTCACCCCTCATGTCCAGTAACTAGTACAGACACTATAGTCACTTTAAACTAAGTCTTTGTAAGAAAACAGACTTTATGTGTGCGAGCTACAGCAGCTAAGCTAACCAATGAGAAAGAACAAGAAGTAGCTTTTAGAACACAAGTCTTCACAAATAAGTGTCCTTTTATTCCTCACCCAAAATGATGTTCTGTAAAAAGCATCCAGCATGTTGACAGCCACTGAGTGTGTCCTCTGTCTGTGGGACAGTCCTTTGCTCTCTGCCCTGTACTTTCATAAAAACAAGCAGCAGTATTGTTGCTGGCCTAAACTGTGCTGAAGTTCACTTTTATTTATAGTTCATATCGTGGCTCAGACATGAGAGTGTTTAAATCAGCACCTCAGTGATGTGCACGGGGATCTGTGACTGTGCACGGGTGTAAACGAGAGCATGTGAGTGACATGACTCTGGGTGCATTCAGGGACAGTACGGCGTCACACACACACAGACTCTACAGATAAATACTAATGCGGTGCCACATATTAGGACATTTATCTGTCTGTAAATTAAATGGACATAATGTAGAGAGTCTAAGCTTTATAAAGAGGTACAACATGCTCACTTGAACTATTGGCCCAGGTCGGCAAGATTTAAACCAATAATCAATATATCTGCTGGCTGATATGGGCACTTGGAGACATACCAGTTGGGCCCTAGTAATTATAAAAATAAAAAAAATCTGATGGCACTTGACGAGCATAAGTGACTGCATAGTGTATAAACCAGTTATAAATGTAACTATGGTTCTCTGAATCCTGGATGTCTGGAAGCACTGCCCTCTGGTCAGTAGGGATGACGCAGCGAGAAAACGTACACGGGCAATTTGTGCACTTAAAATACCTACTTTACTTTTAATTTTACTGTGGTCCAAAAGCAAGAGAAATGATCTGACGAAGGCTTTTTGCCAAAACTTAAATATAAAAAAAAAAAAAGCTTTTGGACATCGGCCATCCAAGTGCGGCAATGCATTTTTATTATTATTTTTTTTAATTGCTGTTCCTCGCATTTGCACCTCTACAAGAACTTTGGTGTGCGTTTTCTGTTTCATTTGACTTAAAATACCTAAACAAATCTGGTTACGATGCACGGACTTTAAAAACACAAAGGAGCTTCATGGCGTAGGTCGGACATTGTCTCATAACGTAGCTGTTTTGAGATTAAAAGTAAATTTGACATAGTTTAGGAGCAGGTTTTAACTTTTCCGATGGCTAGACTGCTATTGCTTAGTAACAGTAAGAAGAATGCAAGAGTATTTTATTTATTATAATTTTTTTAAGTAATCAAAACACACGATTAGTTTAGTACAATACTAAAAGCAGTAAAATCTCCGAAACGTTACACACTGCAGCTTATAATATACAAACAACAAATAAATAAAAAATGAAGTAGCCCCGTGTGACATTTTGTGGGTGGACTATATTTAACCGCGGTCCCTGAGGAGACTCTTGTACAGGGCTGTGGTGACTGTTCAAACGCCCGTAGCCCAGTGAATCAGGTGTATACTAGCCCGCTTCGTGTGCGTGCCAACTCTCCACGTGGCAGATGCACAGAGCCCCGCGGGATTCCAACCCTCAACCCCCAGCCTTTGTTAAACAGAAGAGGACCTGCGCTACAGTCGACGCCGCATATACATCAGTGAACACGCTTAACCGATGGACATAACGAGTGAAAAACACACGCGATGTCAGGGGTCACAGTTTTATTTAATTCGTTTTATTGATCATTTTCCCCCCTCATTCCAATTCTGTGTCTTTTTTAATTATTTGCAAGAATGTCTATAATTTTTGGTTGAAATTTTTAATCCTTTTTAGACACAAGCACCCTATAGTGAGGAAATTAACACAAATGATTTTAAGGAAACATCATTTATTTTTATTTTATTAAATCATTAAATTGTCACAAACCACTCTCAGCAATTATTTTATCCTTATTTATTCAAAATTCTTATATCCTTATTTATTTAAAGTTATGCTTTTTTACTTATTTGCGAGAACTTCTATAATTTTTTGTTTTTGAATAATTTTTAGACACAAGCAGGGCCGTTTCTAGAAAAAAGAGGGCCATGTCCAATGTATTGTGTTTGGCCCCCCTTTATAGTGAGAAAATTAACCAGAATGATTTTAAGGATTACATTTATATATTTATATATATATATATATATATATATATATATATATATATATATTTTTTTTTTTTTACTTAAAAATGTCACAAACCACCAAAAGCTATTTTATAATATTTGTTTGAAACTTAGAATCTGTAATAGACACAACAGGGCCAGTTCTAAAAAAGAGGGCCATTTTTATTAAATGTTAAAACTGTCACAAACCACTCTCGGCAATTATTGTTTGGAATTTAGAATCCGTTTTAGACCCAAGCAGGGCTGTTTCTAGAAAAGAGGGCCATATCCAATATATCTTGTTTGGGCTCCTTTTTATAGTGAAAAAATTAACACGAATGATTTTAAAAGGAAACATCTTTATTTTTATTTTATTAAATCTTAAAAATGTCACAAACCACTCTCAACAATTATTTTGTCCTTAAATTGACTATTGACAGTACTCTGGTTTCATTAATCCTCTGAGGAAAAAGTCCTTTGCCGCTGAGCCTCAGAGAATACACTTTTTGAATTTTCCCAAGTTTGTTACGTCATAGGTCAAAACGGGTGCAGTTTTTAGGCCTATAAATCCCTGCCAGACTCTCTGAAAGCATTTTTTATGTTAAATTACGTTTATTACTACTGCTTGCTTACGCTAACATGTTGATTACAATTATTATGAAGCTGGAAAAAAACGTCTGGTTGTAGAAATGGTCGTAATTTGAAGTACTAAAACATGAGATACCACAGCAAAAGTATGTTTAAAGTAATTCACTACGTACAAACAAAATAATTCCCAATCTGCCGTCTCGTTTACTTTGAACCGAGACTTCTCTGTGACAGCGATTTTAACTATGACGAGTAAATCCCGTAGAACAATGCGCGGCGGACGCGTCTTGACGGGGTGCGCTCCTGTCACCCGGCTCTATTTTTAGAGCGCGTTGTGCCGACCCTGCCGAACCCTGTCTGATTCCCTCACATCACTGTCGCCGCACCTGATCCACGATATCATCCGGCGGACCTTTGAGTCAAAAGTCGCTGGCTTTGGTTCACAGTTGTGGATTTTTCGAGACAATTAAGGGTTCTATATCACGGCAAATTTACTTTTAAGGTTTTAGCTGTGTTTATAACGTCGCGCCGTCGTCACAAAAAAATCTGGAGTTGCGTTTTGTTTCACGTTTGAGTGATTAAAGGTGTGTTATGCTAAATTTTGGACTTTTTGGCGCTTTCTACCAAACTATAACGTTAATCCCTCATCAAAAACATGCCCGAAGAGGTTTTAGTTGTCATCCATGCATGTTTGAGTAATGTAGAGATCTCTCCCGGGCCATATTCGAACCCTCCTGTCCAAGGCTCCGCCCAAAATCCTACATCCCTCATGCTCCCACACGACAATTCTCAATAAATGTACAAAAATGTATTCAAAACTACACACTACGACTTCACAAACCTGGTGCAATGTGCAGTAGTTTCATTGTGTTTTGATAGCGCTCTGAAGGGGGAGTGACAAAAAGGTAAAAACGAAAGTGAAATTAGTTTGAGTGTTGTTGTTTGACGATTCAAAACAATAAAAAGTAATGTGATGATCTAAATATGTTTTGTTAGCAGTTAATACCCAATTAAAGTCTAGCTCAGAATGCTTAAATTCAACTTATGATGTCATCAGGTGGTACTCCAGAAAGTGCTCCTCCATGTTTTCAAAGTCCAATCACTTTCACCAGACTTGTTCTTATCATTACGATGCTTAAAGTGTAATTTCTGTCCTGTGAATGTGACTTTTTTTAGTATCGACACCTGCTCAAAGAAGTATCTAGATTCGTATCTTTTTTCGATACTTTTGACAGCCTTAATCATGTTTTTTTGTTGTGTTTTTTAGGCTGGGTGGAGCAGGAGACATACTACTGAGCACAGACTGGGAGAAACCGTTAAATCATTTATCAAAACACATCAAATCGAGACATTTGCTGCCATGTTACATCTGTGTTTAAGATTTTAGTTCAACCAAAAGAAAAAGAAAAAGCCAAACATGAGTAACTTATGCATTTCTATGTGTTGGTGTCATTCACAATAAAACTGTTCTGTTGTACTTTACGCTGGTTTGGAGTTTGTTTATTCAAAGTACATGGGTAGGGTTGTGGTATCCTGTGTAAATATAATGTGGGTTTAACCGTGTATTAGAAACATCACTATTGGATATTAACTTATGGGATTTGAAAAGACAAAGAGCAAAAAAGATGTAATTTTTTTTGTTTATTTTTACATATGGTACCTGAAAGTAGATTCCCAGACAGTGATGGGAAGAATACTTTGAAAATATACTAAATTACAGAATACTGAATGCCTCTAATGTATTTACTTAATGTAATACTTATAATGCAAATCTGTGTAAAGCAGGCAAGAGCAGGCAATCACGACTATAGCAACCACAGAATCAAACTTCATTACAATTACAATTAAATTATTTAGAATTAGTGAATAAGAAGAAAGTGTTCTGAAAGCAACCAAATGAAAGAGGAGGAGGAGTAGAAGTAGCAACAGTAGCAGTAGCAACAGTAGTAGTAGTAGCAGTTACAGAAGAATTAGTAGTAGTAGTAGTAGTAGTAGTAGGTGCAATAGCAGTAGAAATAGTAGTTGCAGGAGCAGTAGTAGTAGCAGTTGCAGTATAATTAATAGTGGTAGTTGCAGTAGCAGTAGATTTAGTAGTAGTGTAAATATTGGTAATTTGGTATTGGTTTCAGTAAATTTCTCACAAGATATTTAAAATATTACTGGAGTAAAAGTACTTATTGAGCGTTGGCATTTGGAAACAAATGTATTCAAGTAAAGATTACCTAATGTGTACTTCAAATACTCTTTATTGCTCTGCACCATAGACACGTCTAATGTCACACTATGGAACATTCCAGGCAAAGGAATAGCGTCTCCAGGTGTCTCCTCCAACAGAGAAGTGACATTAAATGTAGTTAATACGATTAACTGAGATTCAGGAGCAGGACCAGGCCTCAGCCGCCCTCTCCTCTCACCAGCGAACCACAACTCACCTCCACCACGCCTCGAATTTCCCAGAATCCTATATGTAGCAGCCTTTCCCATCATCCCAGTTTGTCTCGGCTAACTCGACCCCACCCTCCCATCCCCTATTTTGTCTTTCAGTCATAAGAGCCCCTACAAGGGGGGTCCCGTTTCTGGCTGGGCCAATTGTAAGATTGAGACGGAGCCCCCACCCATAGTCTCAACCCAGCCATCTCTGCCTTGCTTCGTACATTATCAATAAACTTCTTGGCACTATGTCATCGTTGGCGTGGTCCTAGCTAGTGAATTACAACCTGAACATCTATGGTTGTCAATCAAATGGTTACATGGTGACTTTACCGGCTTGTCAAAGCCTCATCTCATCAGACCTCAGAAGCTGAGCAGGGCTGGACCTGGAGAGTACATGGACGGGAGACCACAGGGAACACCAGGTGCCACAGAGAAAGAAACACAAACAAGATGTGAATGTAAAGTAAGTGGCTTTTATAAAGTGAAGTAATAACTCAAAGAAAATACAAATGCCCAAGGGCTAAGCCAAAGCAGCCAATAGATCAATAATGACCTCTAGTGTCTCAAACACATTTCAAACACAATTCAAACTTTGCCATCAAGTATCTAAAAGGTAAATTCACAAATGTTGAAGCAGATCATCCCTATTAGTGACTAGGCCCAAGAACTCAGTTTTACAACAACAACAAAAACCCTCACTGTTTTACATCCATATTCATTTTACCTGCCCCCATCTGCATTCAATATTATTGACCTATAGAATGTTGTGATGTCATCTGAAAACCTGCAACATTCACAAACCAAGAAGACATTTGGAAATGATGACAACTTCCTTTGGGCTCTGTTTGCGGTAGTAAGTCTGACAAAATCTAGGAAAAATTTGAAATTGTCCCAGTTTTCTTCATCTCCATGTCAATGTAGCGTTCTGTTATTTCGGATAATCAACAGTTACAACCATATCTCAGGTTTCATCATTTCCACACTGACACATAAGATAAGATAATCCTTTATTGCAGGGGTGTCTAAACTTTTTTCATCAAGGGCCAAATATCTAAACACAGACCAAGCAGAGGTCTGATCGAGGGCCGTAGACTGGAGCTCAGTACAGTGAATAACTGAAATATGTGCATGGTTTAACACGTTAGAATGAACCATCAGTCTTTATTCATGCTAAGATCCTTAAAACCACACACTAAATATTCAATATTAGCTTTATCAAGGTAGATTTTCTAAAAACTTGCAGTAAAAGTTAATTTTTAATTGGGGCCAAGGTAATAAGGTAATTTGGGCCAAGTCTCCTGAAAGCCTGAGGGTCCAGAAAAATTTGTACAAGGGCTGCATTTGGCCCACGGGCCGTAGTTTGGACATGCCCTGCTTTATTGTCTCCCATGGGAGAAATTTGTCTTGGGACAGGGAGTAACATGCTTTATCAAAAAAACAGGACAACACAACACGAGCACCACATAAACAAACACCATAGAACAAAAATAGATACGAGACCAAGTATGACCACGAGTGATGCACCAGCAGGACCTTACCTCACCAGGACCTTCACTCTGAGTGCACTGGTACATGTGACGAGAAGAAACAAGGCACCAAATTCCAGATGATTCCAAACAGCACATACGTCTGCAGTCTTCATTTTACCACTGATCACATTTACTTCAGTGGGTTTGATCACGTTCGGTCGTTGAGCCCAGTGTCGGGAACTACACCGGAAGTGTCATCGCATGTTTCCAAAAGTCTTCCTGGTTTGTGACGTAAGCGTGAACAGAGTCTATGATGAAAGTGTTGTGTTTGAGTGTTGGTGAAATTCAGTGAAAATGTTGAGCAAGATCATTATAAATACACAACTGGGGCATCACGACACATAAAAACTTGAACTTTCCGTAGCGTACATTAACAGCAGCACATCCCCTGACCTCATTACCTTTAAATCCAGATAGCGTCGTGCTAGTTGTGCAGCTCCATAATCTGCAGGAGCGGTTGGGTGTGTTCTGTGGAGCACGGCGGTGAAAACGAGCAGGTCCCTGTGTGCTGTGTTTATCTCCACTGTGTTTGCTCAGGTCATTACGGAGCCCACCTCCAGCCCCCAGCGAGCACGAGCAGCCAGCCAGAAAATACATGGACCACTTCAGCAAACAGGAAACTAACTAAGTTCACTCCAGAGGTGGGACGCGACGATGAAGAAGAACCACGCTCGAGTAGGTGCCTAGTATTTCAAAATAACATGTTCACAATAATTTCATTACTCAAGTAGAAGCTCGGAAATATTTGATCAATCTACTACTGTATTTTTTGGATTATAAGTTGCTTTTTTCATGGTTTTGGTGTTTCCTGTGATTTATACTCTAGTGCGAAATATTAAAATATATAATTTCAAGTTTGTTATTTTCACACTGAAGCCATGACAGGCTCTAGTCTTGTGTGTCAATATCTTCTGCTCCTGTTCCTCCTGAATCTGTGTATCATTCGTTCATTACTTTTTCAATATAAAACCAAAAATAAGAAAACAAAAAAACAACTATTTTCTTCATTATTTGTCTCCAAAACCAAAATGAAAAAAACAGATAATGATTCGTTTTTTCAGTTTTCGATTTTGTGTTTAAATGAAGAATGGAAAAAACGGATAACGGCCGTTTCCCGTTTACGTGACTTCCGTGACTTTTGCACCGCATACGGACTGAACCAGGACTGAACCAGGACTGATCGAGGTCCAGGAGCAGGCCAGGACCAGACCGGGACCAGAGTGGGACAAGACTCTGAGCTTTGACTCTGAGCCTCCGCAGGGTCCGAGCCTCAGCTTCGAGCTCCGGTCCTTCCGTGGGCTCTGAGCCTCCAGTCTCGTCCCGGTCTGGTCCTGGTCTCAGTCCCGGTCTCAGTCCCGCTCTGGTCTCAGTCTCGGTCTGGTCCCAGTCTCAGTTCTGATCTCAATCTTGGCCTGGTCCCGGTTTGGTCCCGGCCTGGTCTCAGTCTCGGTCTGGTCCGGGTGTGGTCCTGGTCTCAGTCAGAAAGAGTCTCTGTTCTGTCTGTATCATGTCAGTGTCTTGTAGATTTCAACAGATTTCAGGTTCTCTCGGGGGCGGGGACAGGTGTATGGATCAGGTATGAGTGGATGCTGGGCTACTGAAGTTTGAGACATTTCTTCTCGTCATGTGTGCACTCACCTGCAGTTTTTATTTATGCAGAAAGAACAAAAATGTGGCTGTTTGCTGCAGGTGTTCCAGTCAGTAGGAGCAGGTAGAGGGTGCTCTTAGAAAAAGGATCAAAACTTAAACACAGGCACTCCAGAAAAAATTGAAAAAGTTAAAAATTGCATGAGGAAAAATATAGTTAAAAGGCCTTTATTTGAATCTTCATAATGAAGACCAGTTAAGGTCAAAACATGTTGGCTTTGGCCATTCAAATAAAGGCCTTTTAACTATATTTTTCCTCGTGCGATTTTTAAAAAACTTTTTCTATTTTTTTTGGAGTGCCTGGAATCCGTTGTGTTTAAGTTTTTATTTATATAGCACTTTTCACAGACATATGTCACAAAGACGCTTTACAGAGCATTATTCATTCACTCCAGACTCAGCGGTGGTAAACTACTATTGTTGCCACAGCTGCCCTGGGACACACTGACGGAAGAGAGGCCATCAGCCCCTCTGACCACCACCAACACTCACACACACCACTTTCTTACTTTCATACTAGGCAATGTGGGTGAAGTGTCTTGCTGAAGAACACAATGACAGTTTTTGTGACTGTCGCCCCACTGTGGCTCCTGACTTTCCGAGTGTGACCAGACCCGGCCCTGCTGAGCTTCTGACATCTGACAGGATCAGGATTTGATAAACTGGTTTGGCCATAAATGTTCATTTCATTAATGTTCATTTAGCATCAGAACTTATTTTATTACATGGCGATAAACTTAATCATATTCTGCAGATTAAGATGCAAATCGTGAAATCTGCAGCTGAAAACTGTCATTGAACAGCAGAAAGAAAGTTTGGAGTGAGCGAGAAACTTGTGAGGGACTGGAGGAAACCAGAGGATACACTAACTGC